AACAGTTCGTCCAAATAGTAATCCAAACAGAAATCAACATCCGTCCACGGGAAGAAAAATTCTTCCACCAAACGACCGTCCGACCAAACGTCTATCCGATCAAACAGCTGTTCGACCAAAGAAATTCCGTCCACACAATTCATCCAGAAGAGATCAACTCCGTCCGCCTTTTCGTAAGAACCCGAGACAACTACGCCCCTCTGTCCGTCCAGTAAAAAAGTCCGTCCACACTTTAGAGCTACCGATCACGTCAGTCATGTCAGCTGAAGAAATACTCAACGAACTAGCCAATGAGCAACACAATCTGGGAATACAAATCGTCCAGCTTCTCAGCAATGCCGAGAAAAAAAATACTGAAACATACATTGACGAACACACTGCCATACTAGAAAAAACATGGAAAAAAAAAATTCAAGCTATAGATGAAGAAATTATGAAATGTGGAATTCTAGAGCACGCTTACTTCAGCAAAAACTACTTTCAACAGTTAAAGGATAAATATGAAGAAGCAAAGAACTACTTGAAAAACTGTACAAACGCTACAATCACTCAACCACCTGCTGGTCAGACTTCAACAAACACCATTCAAGATCAACGTTTAAAAAAACAGAACTTTAAACTTCAACAGCTAGAGGGAGATTTAAACCAAATCGAATTCTAGCTGATTGAAGAAAAATCGAAGTCTCGCTATCAGTTACAGCTGGAAAAAATTAAAAAACAATGGAGCGCCATCCAAGACTCAAGACCTACATGAAGAAATAATGATATCTGAAGATATATTTCAAAATGGATATTTCACTAAAAATCCATACAATGAAATGCATCAGCAGTACGAAGATATCACTGAAAAACTAACAATCAAAATACAAGAAGAGACACTTAATTCATTCCCTCAAGTAATGGTAAATCAACAGCATCAACATCTAGCAATTCCCAAGATTCCGATTCCAACATTCCATGGACGATACGAGAATTGGTCCACATTTTACGATGTTTTTAAAAGAGTAATCCATGAAAGTCACGTGCTGACCAAAGCCAAAAAAATGCAGTATTTAAAAATGCACGTATATATGAGGAGAAGCAAACAAACTGATAACTGATGCTACATCAAGAAACAATCAAAGCTAATTATGATGCAGCATGGGAATTATTACAGAAAAGATTTAAAAACAAGAGACTACTTATCTTCAAGCTTCTGGATAAATTATTGGACTTGCCAGCCGTTCCCGAAGAAAATGCAATGAAGCTGAAACGACGTCACTATAGCGAATGCCTACAAGCCTTGAAAAATCTTGAGATAGAGACTGATACATGGGGGCCCATGGTGATTCGCATAATCATCCGAAATACCATATGAAGCGAGTCATTGGAGATGACAGAAGATATACACGACACCAGTGTGTTAACGCTTGGCCACTTCCTAATAGGAAGAGAGTTGTTAGTACCACCAGAGCTGGACCATACAGAAATCAGCAGCTTATCCCAAAAATGGCGACTCATCTGAAAAATTACAGAATACTACAGCAGAGATATAAATGGAAAAGCCAAAGTGAAAACTTACGAGTATGCACTATGGTCCTACTAAAAGAAGAAAACGTGATTCCGAATCAATGGCCGGCTGGCACGAATCACTGAAATTCACCAAGGAAAAATTGGTGCAGTTCGAGTAGTTACAATAAAGAAAGCAGGAGGCACCATGACGAAAAGGCCGATTCATAAACTAATTCCACTTCCGACAGAAAAAGACGAGAGCCTCACAGCTGCAAAAATTACAAACTACTCAGCTACAAGTGACCTAACGCCAATAACTAAACACTAGAACCCAGACATCGTCCAAATCGCAGTTACTACATCTCCTACTAGCCTTCCTTATGCTTAATTCCACTATCACGGCAGAAAGCAGATTCAGAATTAAACCACCGGATCATCGAGAATCGATCGAGGTATCTTCCGCATGGAAATAGTACACTCAAAAAATGTGCACTCTATCATTGAACAAACCAGTCAGAAACCATGTAATCTGAAGATTGTCGCATCCTCAATCACAACTATAAAGTTGTCTGCCAATAGTGTGTCTTATTGATTTTCGAATATTTTCCCATTGCAGATGTTACTGAATTCGAGTTGATACGAGCCACACCGATACCTTTAGAGTCTGGAAAGGGTACCTGTTGGACTCTGAATCTTCTAGATGGATATATTGTGAATTATTACAACACTCAAGTATACTTCGAACTCCAAGAATGTGATTTGCAGCAATGCATTCAGTCATACGATCACCACTTTATCTGCTCTCCAGTTTCAGTGAGAAACATAGAGACAAATCAGTCATGCATCATTCATTGACGAAATTTATGAACGACCAGGACCAAGGCTAAGGCATTACAAGATTCAAATGAACAATATTCAAAGCATCATATGGAAGGAGCTCTGCACACACAACACATGGATGTTCATTACGGATTCCTCAACAACCATATCTGTCATCTGAAAATGTTGCAATAAATACAACAGGCATTATTCAAATATCTCAGGACTGCATCATCAAAACAAAACAGAATATGAAATCCGCATCGCTTTTATCTACTAAATTTCAATAGATCTGCAAAAAATTAAAAGAAGATACCTAAGTGAAGAATACCTATAGGTCGCCGAGTCTGGGAGGTGAATGACCGCGATCAGATCAGATTAGCTTACATTAGGTCAAATGCAAATTTGAAAAAATCATCATGTTAAAAGAGTCAAAATTTCCAACAATATCGAATAATAATTGTTGTGCAAGAGCAAATAGGTGAGAAATATAGGTCGCCGGGTCCGGGAGGTGAATGACCGCGCTCGGTTCAGGTCGCGTTCGGGCCATTGGCATCGCTCTATGTTCCCATGTCTGTTTTTACGCTATTTGTGTGGACTGTGTATGCCGATGCCGAGAAAGTCCGAGAGCTAAATGAACTATCTTGCACAACGATCTGCATTGCAAGTCGGTTAAGGTCGACAACTTCTGTGCTAAACAAAGCACTACCATTTTAGTACTGAGCAGCTAGGTACTCCAAAAGAGTCCCTATAGCAAAAAATAGTACAGTCAGTGTGAAGCACCCTCAGAATATACCCTTCAAGTCAGTTTTCAGACTAACTGACAACCTGAAAGAGTTGGAAGGCGACGAGAAGAATTTGAATACAGAGTTGGACAGCACAGTATGGCGGAATATTGATCATCATTCCGTAGCTATTAGCAGCATCACTACACTACCATTGGGATAATCAGCATTGGTATTGTAGCATGGTATACGATAAAACTCATTCTGAAGCACCATCAAACCAAACAGAACCGAAGAATGAGCCGATGTGAAGACAAAAAAGACGGGTTTGAACTACACTCTTTGAAATCTTCTATTCTGGAGAGGCAGCAGAATGTATACCTACGAAAAAAGACGATGTATCAAACTCTCAATACTACAATTTACTGTTCCCAAGCCTCCTCCTTGGCCACAGTAGAGAGTGCATGAGGCAGCTCTCCGACAGTAAATATTCCAAAAAGTCCTTACCGTTCCGCTGCTTAACTCAAGTCATAGTTGAGCAAGTGTAATCTTCATGCACACAGCCTGAACAAACATTAAAAGAGCAACATTTGAAACAAGGACATATCAAATTGAATCAATAATAATCCAGAAAATGCAGACTTACCCAAAGAAACTCGTCCACCATGAAAAAACAAATTCATTTAGTTATTAGTGTCCCTTGAGCGCGCTTTATTGTTTTTCAAATAAAATTGTAACTCACGATGAAGATTACGACCTTGATGACTATGTTGTTGTTGCTGGCTCAAACTCAAATGACCTCTCGAACAAATCTCAACTCTTCCTGCTCTTCATAAGGAGAGAAACTAATACAGATAGGAGACCCTCCGCAAATGATTTAGAACATGTTACTTTTATGCTTTTGGACATTCAGTCAGCAAGGAGTAAAGCCGAATAATTGTTTGTCTTTCTAGAAAGTAGAAAACTCCCTCATCTTGTCCTTCTCACAGAACATTAGCTTGAAGAAGGAGAACCTTTTGATGTCTGAAATTATTACATCTGATCTAAATTTTGCCTCCACTTCAATAATGGGGGACCACTATCTTAATAAGTTCCGAATTTACATCCAGCTCGGACTTCTGTAACTGCGATAAATTTCACATTTTATTATCTGAGAAAATATTGGAAATATCTCTGCTTTCCTCAAAATCCCTGAATACATATATCTGTATTTATCACTCCCCTAGCACTAGCGTTTCAAGTTTTATATAGATAATTTTGAAATACTTCTGTGAAATATACCACCTAATTCCAAACTGATAGTTGCGGGAGACCTTAATATAGATTTTGGCGATCCCGAGAAGTATTTGACTGTTCTTTTGCTCAACCTACTTCAGTCTTTTAATCTTCAAATGCTTGTTAATGGAACCACGCCTCCACATACTCCAACTCCAGTACAATTAAATAGACTATGTTTGTGCCAATCTTAATTCCGAATTTGATTGTACTGTTACTGACCCTGATGCTTGGACTCAGGTGCTTGGGTTCCGGTGCAATGTTGGTGATATTGATTGTGATCAGTAATTTCTTGGACTTCAACTTGACGTTGATCTCAAATTTTAATAACATATCTATCACTGCACTCTCGACTGCACTTAACAAGAAACTTACTTCTGGTTACTACATACTGTGTCCAAACTAAACTACTTATAAAAATCCGCTCTCGACACAGATCAATGAATAATATTATGTATCCTTACGAGGTTATTATCGCACTTAAACATCAGGTCAAAAGCCAATTCCGGGCGACAAAAACTGATCAAATAGATCTGATGATGGATATCTCGGAAACGAAACACGAGCGACAGAAACGGATTTCAGATTCCTACAAAAAATAATCAAATTCGGAGAGGGTAATGGATAATAGATAACTACCGTGAGTTTTTCTCATAAACTTTTTAATCCAACAAAAAAACCTCATTCAAGGGTATGAAAGTCGATTTTTCTGCTGGAAAACTAAAACAAGGAGTTGGAGAGCATGTGGTTAATGTTTTGGATTTTCTTGCTAATGCCGCAATCAAAAAAGATAATTTAATTTTAGAAAAGTAAGTGGATATATAGCACTATGGAATAAGTTTATGTATTAAATCTTCCCTTGAATATCTGACTAGAAGAAAGATTTGAATTCCTGATTACTAATTTTGTTGGTCATATTTTTATTCTTCTAAATAAATACTCTCAGAAAAATGTTTCAGCTCCTTATTAGGTTATATCAAACAAAAAGTATGGAAATGATACATTTGTTATTTAGAGTCACAGTTAATAAAAAAGGACTGAAACAGTTCATGTTAGCACGGTGTAAGTAAATTTTTATTCTCAGGCCCAAACCACAAGAAGAAGAAACCCAGGAAACTGAAGCTATAGAGGATGAATCTGAACTGAACTTAGATAGAGTAGAAGAGGAAATGATAGCAGCGTATTCAGATGACTCTGACGAAGAAAATATTTTTCATTTGGATAGCGTGAAACCAGTAAGTAGCCTGAAAAGCAAAAACAATATTAAACCATAATATTCACTGATAAATAATATTTAGATCAAAAGAGACATACAACAAATTGACCTAAAGGCGCATATTGATGAAGAAAGCTGGAAATTGGAAGTAGAACGAGTATTGCCTCTACTTAAAGTGACTATTAAAAATGAAAATAGAGATTGGAGGTATTTGTTTAAATTGAAAATCATTAATTTAATTAACTATAAAACTCTAGATCTCATTTGGAACAAATGAAAATTTATAAAAGTAACATCGACGAAAGTTTGGGGCCAGCTAAAAGTCAATTGCAAAGATTGCACAAAGAAATAAGTACTACTTTGGAAAAAGTTGGCAATCGAGAAAAATATTTGAACAGGGAACTTGAAAGCGTTCTTGATAATTACAGGTAAGTGAATAATCTGTAAAAAATAACTCAAACAAATAAGTTTAAAAGGACTTTGAAAGACCAACTATCGAAAATCAAAGAAAAATACAAAACCATCAGCACCGGAGTGGCTGAAAGAAACAGAGAGCTAAACAATTTAAATGGTAAAGTCGATTCTATCAAGCAACAAATGGATGAGAGAGGCAGCTCGATGACGGACGGAAGTAATCATTATTTTGGTTAAATTTATTTCAAATTCTATTTGATATTTTTGTTTTAGCTCCACTAGTGAACATTAAAAAATCCATAGGTAAAATCAAAACGGAAATTGTGGATATGGACGTCAGGATAGGAGTGCTAGAGTGTCTGTTACTCCAGACAAAAATTAGAGAAGAGAAACAGTTGGAAAATGTTTTTGAACATCCCACATCTGTTTATTAATTATTGTTATTTTGTTATTTTATTAAAAATATATAAATTTGACCTGAAAAGTTTGTGAGGCAGAAAATGAGATTGTTAATGTGGTTTGAAATCAACCAAATATGGGAAATATTTCTCTTTAAAATGAAACTTCTTAGGCAGCGTTCTGATATTCGGACGACAATGAAGGGTGATTTGAAAAATGCGTCACAGGGAAATTTCACTACTCGAGAGAGAGAAGGAAGATATAATGTAAAGAGAGGGAGAAAGACAGCTCCGATACTTTCGTGATGTCACTATAGATGTGTGTCTCCCTTTTGTTATACTATTATATCATTGTGTTTTGTGATTATTTTCGTTATTTATACTTTTGTGTACTGTGTTTTTTTTAATTACATCCGTGAACAGTCTGTACAGTATGTAAGTATATTAAAATTATTAAAATATCAAAAATGATATTAAAGACAAAGAAAAACAGGCATATATTGCCACAAATCAAGGATTATAAGTGCAAAGAGGATTATTGTCAAGCGCCGATACCCTTGCGACGTCACTACAGATGCGCGTTTCCCTTCGTCTTTATCCCTACTCATACGCAGTCTAAAAGTTGTATGAGGGGTGGATAGTTTCAGCACAGCATATACAAAAACAATCAGCAGGCTAACTTGAGTGACAGCCCGTGTAATATAGGAATTCATCGTCGAAATGCCACTAGCAGCCATTTTGGGATAAGAAACAGGACCTGATTAACGATGATTTAGGTTTTTTCGTTCCTGTCACAGAGTCGTATTGGCTTTAAATAAACTGATTTATTATTAGTTACTTAGTTACATATAATAATATTTATAATTACTAATTTATTATTATTATTATTATTAAATATACAAAAATGATAACAGATAACACTATAAATGACAACATGAATATACTAAAATCACTTCGAAAATCATAACTAAAATTCCGCTCTACACCGCACGCCTATGACCTCCGTCAGAAATAAACAAATGTAATCAAACTTCGGCGCCCCTGCCGTTTAATGACAGGATGGTATCCCCTAATGGCGGCATGCGCAGAAACGATGCGCGTGAGAGTTAGCCTGCTGATTGTTTTTGTATATGCTGTGGTTTCAGTGGCGGTCCATACATGATTTGCTGGGGGGGTAATGGATGACGGGAAAATCATCAAGTGTCGCAACGTACCGCCGAAGGCGAAACTTTTTTTGGGCTGCCACGCCCAAATTTGCACCCGATAGTCGTTTAAAAAACACGCTTCGGGCGAAAATGTATCCCGATGCCGTCAAAATAGTTATACAGGGTGTCCACTTAGTGGAATATCGGACGATATCTTCTAACAGGGTGATGCTAGAAAAAAAAATAAAAATTCAAAGTTGTTTGATTCTCTAAGGTGTATTACTTATATATATATATTTTTATTTTCAAATATACAAGGTGCTCTTGTAAATGGGGTATGCGACAGAACTTTGATTGTTATTTTTAAATGGAACACCCTATATTTTAGTATATTCTATCGTTCTAAAAATCCTACATACTTTTTGTAAGGAATCATCTATACCAAAACTCGCGTTTCTAAAATACTTAATATTTTTTCAAAAAATCGCAGCTTGCATGTGTCAACAAAAATCAACATATTTCATCTATTGGAGATCCTTTAAGCTGAAATACCCCCTCGAACTTTAGGAACCTTGATAGGTACGTCGGTACTGGTGAGCCATCATATTCATACGATGCCTTTAATCCTTTACTTTGCAGAACTTGTCTTTTGTTGAAATTTTGTTGTAATTAATAAATGTATAAAAAAAATCTTTGTCGGGGGGGGTAATTACCCCCTCTACCCCCCTTGGATAGTTTTCAAGAAGTTTTGCTTCTACCACGTGTATGGCGCTGCACATGATTTTTTTGTTGTTATTAATAACCATCCAAGTAACCATCCTCCTTCATCAAGTATCTGGAGCTCGATCTGGAGCTATTTACTCCAATATGATTACTAACTCAAACTGTTTAAGTACGTGTTTTTGACTGACCCATAAGTGCCAGTGTTAATTTAAAATATAATTTGTACGAAAAATTTAATATTTTTTTGTCAAGATGTAAGGAATTTTAAGCTGAATTGCAAAATGATCTTAGTTAAAAAAAATTCATTTGTGACCGTAAGGCTTGGACAAATTCGAGGCAACAAGTGGATCACTAGTCTACAAAACGTCCCAAATTAATTTTCAAAGTCAAACACTGTTAAAGAAAAAGTGCCTACTGGAGATACAAGCCCTGTGGCACTCTACTATATCCAGATTCTATGTCATCTCCAGGAACTGATGTTTTAAATTTCAGTGCTTTTTACTAAAATCCTGACAAAAATCCTTTTATGACTTCATGAAATTGAAACTGAACGGGTATTGAAGGGATTTACTGCTATCATTTTGATTCTATGTATGTCATTCACAAGAAAGAAAATAGAAAAATAAAATATATTTAAGAAATATGTACCAAGATTAAATAATGAAAATAATAATAATATAATACTCTAATAATATTTAAACTTTAAAACACTTTTACTTAAAATGAACAATATTTTTAATACCTGCAAGTATTATAACTTCTCTAACCCAAAATGAATCAACAACTACTCCAACAAGTTCCACTCTTCGTAGTATCAGTTACAACTTGGGCATTTAACCTCAATGGATTAGCGCCTTCCGAAGCCGGTAGATATGTCTTTTGGTTTTTGAGTTTATGTGCAAGAGTTAGAAATATCGACTCAACATTGTCACATTGTGAGTCTAATCTTGCCGAAGTTTCAAAGAGCTAAAAAAATAATTCACAAATTTCCAGCTATTTTAAAGTGAAATATTCTTACAGGCATATTATGTAAATCCGCAAATTTCTGTGCCTCATTTGTTGAAACAGCCATAACCCCGTCACATTTATTTCCAATTAAAATTTTCGGTACGTCAGGCATACAGTTTGTGTTGGTCTCCTCAACCCATTTTCTTAATGCATGAAAAGATTCTAAGTTTCCTACATCGTAAACAAGAACTACAGCATCAGTATTTCTTGAATAGTAAATCAAAGTGAGGATGAAATGAAGCTAATATTAGAGGATAGATTACCGATAATAATGCCTAACCATGGACATTCTATACCTTTCTTGTCCAGCAGTGTCCCACAATTGTAGGGTAAGAGTTTCACCATCAATTTCTAAAGCTTTGCTCCGGAAATCTACACCGATAGTAGCTTCAGAATAATCTAGAAAACTACCTTCACAAAATCTGCGAAAATTTTTTGCAATTTGGGAAACGCTCACACATCCAAAAGTTGGTGATTACCTGTAAGTTAAAGTTGTTTTTCCTACATTAGAGTCTCCTATGACGATAACTTTATAGATTTTTTCCTTATTTTTCATTGCATTTATTGTTTTTTGGGTACTGCTTTGTGTTCCAGCAGATACATCTGGTGATGGGGAAACACCTGTTGCTTCTTCTAGAGCCATTGTAATGTTAACTAATAAATAAACTTGAATTTATTTTTGTTTGGCAGAATTCTAATAAATAATTATCCAGAAACGATTAATTATAATCGATGAATTTATCAATTTCTACAAATACTTCCTATAAAAATTTGATAAACAAAAAAACTTTACAAATCTAACCCCAACAGTGTTGCCAATCTGAATTTGTAAAATTACACGATATGCTGGTCAAATTACACGTTTTTACACGCTGTCAGTCTCACTATTACACGATTTTTACACACGACCTTGGTAGCCATTTGTGTATAACGTCAAGAAGCAATAAGTATAATTTTTTTTCTGATTTATGATTTTGGGAAATGGGTAAAATCCAGTCGAATCTGAGGCTTATGGCTGTTTCCACCAACTATTTTGGGAAGCCCTAACGATAAGTATTCCCTAAAATGACATTTTTACATGGAGAAATGTCAATTTAAGGCATACCTATCGTTAGGGCTCGAGGGCTCCCGTAAAATAGTTGGTGGAAGTGGCCATTAATGCTCCTGATCATCGCTCAAATTCAGAATAAATTCTTGAACCTTAAAATCTTGTTAAAATCACCTTTTCTACATTTAAAATCGACGAAAAAACAAGCACAACCTGAATCGCAAGTATACCATCGAGGCTTGCGGGTGACGTCACCACTATATAGGCTGCTATGCTGCTAATACTGGTGACGTCACTCGCAGGCCCTGCCGATTTGCGAACGTACGCCTCATAAGGATAATCAATCCTATTAGTACGATTCCTGGGTGTGGGGGCCGTGGCTTTGAATTGGAAAGCCGTGAAACAGAACAAAAATAAGAGAATGTCAAATTTTTCAAATTACACACAAAATACACGCTTTTTGTTTATGTTCGAAAAATTCACGCAAGCCAATCAAAATACACACAAATCGTGTAATTACACGCTAATTGGTAAAACTGAACCCCAAATCAATGCCCCAAATCCTCAAAATTCAAAAAATGTTTTTGACTCAGTCACTCAGTTCAGTGACCAGTCACTAGTCAGAGCAAGGATGAGTCAGAGTAATGTCAGATCAGAAAAGTATTTCACATTTGCTATTCGAGTACTCGTTACTTGCCCGGATCCGAAATAACGAATACAAAAATCGTCACCGCTATAGCTGTTCGAGTGCTCGAAATTCTCTATACACACCAAGCTCGCATTTTAAAAGTGCACTGCAAAAATTTGTATTGATTTTTCGGATTGATGCACATTAGTTGTATTCCTTTCACACCTAAGAGGAACTCCGGAACAGCTCCGGGGCTTCACGCGCTTATTCCTTTCGAAAAGTGTTTGTCGTACCCAATGAGTCGTACCACGCATCTGTTACCTGCAAATCGAGGGCTACTAAACACCGGAGCGAGTAGCTCGAGTGTTTCAAACTCTTGAAAGGAATACAACTATTACGGCGGAGCTAGAAATTTGGTAGCGTATTTTATTGGTAGAGCAAGTGCAACGCTGGTGCAATATTCGTGATCCATTGGAAAAGTCCGCGCTGCAATTTTGGATTTCATTGGGAAAGCAATACTCGTGTAATATCCTTGCATCTACACCATACCACACTCCACGCTACGATGGTTCAGTGTTTACGGAGCTTCACCGCGTCAACGTTCTTCCCGAAGGTCAACTAGCGTTTGCGTTGCAGTATTGCGCTATGCGTGTTCCCGAATACACCCAATAGTTGTATTCCTTTCAAGAGTTTGAAACACTCGAGCTACTCGCTCCGGTGTTCAGTCAACCCCGATTTGCAGGGAACACAGATGCGGGGTGCAACAAACACTATCGAAAGGAATAGGGGCGTGAAGCCCCGGAGCTGTTCCGAAGCTCCTCCTAGGTGTGAAAGGAATACAATAATACAATCAGGAACGGCCAAAGCGCTCTAGAGATGCAGTCCACGTCCAATCTGAACGTGCCCCTGGACGGGACTGCACTCTAGCGTTGAGTGTCACGTGTCACCAAGGATGATACACATCTACAGGATTTCTTATCAAATATGTTGCGGTTTGTTAAACCGGAGCCACGTGAAAAGGGTTCTTGCGTTCGGTACGCTACGCGCTAGATTTGTACCGTTCCAGTATCATGGCGTGAGACGCCTGTCTTAGAGTCAAATATGTGAAATTTTAAAAATAATTATCTGTTTGTTGGTGCAGTTTGTTTTTTATTTATTAAAAATTGAAGAAAATCAAAACTATATTTTGGAAATGTTCGATCCCGAGATATAACAAGAAACAAATAAATAAATTTCTACTCACGGATGTGACAAGTGACAGGTTGACAGGTACGTACAGCTCGGGAGCACAACGCCCCGAGTAGCTCTGGGCGTCACACTCCCATACTGGAAAGCGGCTAAGGGTTCAGAACCAGTTCTAAACGCTGAGGCACCAATCACAATAGAAATTGGCAATAAGTGACAGTCTAACAAAAAAAAATATATTTTGTGATTGCTTCCTTTAGCGTTCAAAATTGGTTCTGAACCCTTACTGCGAACGAAGCTAATTACCAAACGCACGGTAAACAGCTTACGTCAAGGCGAGAAATAACATGCTGCCTACGTCACAACTGGTGATTTAAAAAGGTGAGGGGGGATTTGTTCCACATAGGCCTTTTGAGGATAGGCTATCCTGTAGTAGTAGTGTGTATAATCCTTGGAGTATCACGTGATTTTCGATTTTAATAATTCTCAAGCTTGCTTGGGCTGTTCAAGCTACAATAAACTTGACAGGGCACGGGGATTGTAATCCTTTTTGTTCATATTCTCAATTTTTTTGTCAATCGTGCGTCAAGAATTGGGAACCAAACCTGGTCTTATCGATTTTTCACTCTTTTCCTAATACCCGAACGCAAAATAATCTTACTCGGTGTACTCCACAAAAAGGCAAGTTCGGCTAACCCTCGGCATGGGGTTGACAGAGCACTCAACTATTTTTCATCAGATTTGACGGATTTAGGGCGGGTATTATAAAACTGCTTTGAGAGTTAACTTGAAGTTAACTTTTTGAATTACATGTAATTTCAGAAGTTAACTTTTAGTTAACTCTCAAAGTAGTTTAATTGCGTTTCCGATTGGTAGATTCAGTGTGCACTGAGTGTATTTGCATCCTTTTAATCGACCTGTAGAAGAAAAAGAGAGAAATATAAAAAATTTGCACTAGTTCCGCACTAAATCTACCAATCGGAAACGCCATTATAATACCCGCCCTTAATGGTAAAACCAATGAACTATAGCCAAAAACTGGAAGGCACCCCAGATGACGTCATAAAAGTTATCAGGCAACGCAACCTACCTCTCAAATAACCTTGGGAAGATATAACAACAATTATCCAAAATAAAAATTGATTGGTTGGTTTCTCGATACTCGAGGATCAAGAACACTTTAATTTCTTCTGAGAGAACAGAGCGAAAGTCACCTTTTCTACATTTAAAATCGACGAAAAAATTAACTCACTAGCACAGCTTGAATCGCGAGGATTCCATCGAGGTCTGCGGGTGATGTCATTCCGATAGGTTGCTGATAGTGGCGTCACTCGCAGGCCCAAAATTTGATGGGGAGGGAGTTAGTGGACACACACAATTAAGGCCGGTTTCTCAATAGCGAGTCACCCCCTGGTCAAACATAACTCCAGGGGTAAACATAGCAACTGGCCACGCTTACCCTGGAGTTAAATCCAACCCAGAGGTGACTCGCTATTGAGAAACCACCCCTTAGGGAATCTAAACTAAACCACCTGACTTTTGCCAACCAAACGGCATTTTGACACTGTCGCAGTTCTTATGCTTATGAGGATAGGCCATCTTGTAAAGAAAAAAAGTAGTGTTGTGTATTATTCTTGCAAGTAGCCCACGTCAAGGCGAGGAACGACATGCTGTATACGTCAAAACTGGTGATTTGGCGTGTTGGGGGACTTCAGATTTGGTGTACACAGGCCTTATGAGAATAGGCTATCCTGTAGTAGTATTGTATGTATTATCCTTGTATCCCAATCACATATCAAGGCTCATCCTCAATCAATTTAGTAGCGAAGTGGCACTTCGGCACGCAAGCTAGGAAAATGTTGTTTAACGTTGGCATCCTCAATTCAATTCCGTGCTGGCATGCACCTCGAATCCGAAGTGAAGTTTGCAAGCTGCCAGCTTTTTCGATGCGTGCCGATTTATGTCATGCGCAGTACGTTTAAAAATTAATTTAGGTTATCCTTGCGTTCGGTATTTTGCTCGAAGAGCAGAGCGGAGCTGTAATCACGTGACCAGCAAGCGCACAGAGCAGTTAAACGCTGTATCAGAGGGCTCGAAATTTTAATAAACTAACGTGAATGAGCCTGCACCGAGTACATTTTTTAAATAAACGAACGGTAAATTTATGCTCGGAGAACTCCGATCAAAATACCGAACGTACGGTTCGTGACCGTACTACACGTAGAGCAGACTGAAAATTGACAGCATTGAGGATGGGTATCAATTTCCCAGCACGCGTGCCGAAGTACCACTTCGCTACCAAATTGATTGAGGATGTAGCTTTACTCATTATTAGTTGTATTCCTTTCACACCTAGGAGGAGCTCCGGGGCTTCACGCGCTTATTGCTTTCGAAAAGTGTTTGTTGCACCACACATCTGTTCCCTGTAAATCGGGGGTGACTAAACATCGGAGCGAGTAGCTCGAGTGTTTCAAACTCTTGAAAGGAATACAACTATTAATGTAAGGTCTGTTTCTACCAATGAACTATAACCAAAAACTGGAATGCTAACACATAAGGACGAACGTGAAGCCTAGTGCAGCTGCTGCGGAGGGGATACCTGTTTTTGTCGCCCTCATTATGTTAAATGGCGAAAATTGCTTGTACGTATTCCGGTCGATGAAACCTGTGAAGGGATCCAAAATATGACAAAACTTTCGAAAACGTCATATGACAGCGAGCAACAGAAAAAAACAACATTCCCCCTTGTGGCATCTGTCTTTCATGGCTTCATTTTTTTGGCAGATATGGCAATGTGTGCGCATTCCAGTTTTTAGCTATAGTTCATTGGTTTCTACAGAAATCACAAACTAGTCAGAGCGAATTTCATTGGTTGAAAACAGTCAACCAATGAAATAATTCACTCTGACTGGTTTATGATTTCCGCAGAAACAGACCCTGTAGTCTAGTCGAATACGGAATAGTCATGAAATCATAATATTCTTGGCTTTTCTGTTCCTAGAGCGCTCTCCGTCTCGATGACACCACAAATCTCCGCGGGAGTGCTCCGATACCGATTTTAATCCAAACGAGTCTACACCATATATCAATAACTGAACGTACTTTGTTTTAATCCTACTCTTTGATCCATCTAATTTGACGGAACAAGAAATAGTGCGAGATTCGAGAGCGTTCTAAGTTGAACACGTGGATCTCGCTCAGAGCAACGCTCCATTTTCAAACACTTGTGAATCCGTTTTGGATCGCTATTGACACAGCTATTGATCAATCGCAGGCGAAAGTCGAAAACGCTATTATATGACAGGATTGACAGCATAATTTGACAAATCAGTGGCAACATTCCAATTTTCAATTAAATTCAATTTGAATTTATACCAATATTACCAATTTTACCATTTGGAATTTGGAAGTTCTAACGTAATCGAGAAGCGTGTATAGTATGTTTTGTTTATACTATTAGTGCCGCGTTTTTTTTTCACGTAAGAAATACCAATTTAAAAGTCCATTGATTTTAATGTAAAAAGGGTAAAAACGTGCCAATTGACTACCATTATTTATTTAAAGAATGGCAGTATTGGAATTGAGCCCGAAAGCCAAGGCAAAATTGCCCAAGAGCATGAAAGACACGTTGCTGGTCGCTCAGGATCTGAGCTATGCCAGAAATTTGGCTGCTAATGATGGAAAAGTACGAAATAGATCGTTAAAATACCTGAGAAAGTACTTGGCGCAAAGATCTAAAGCTAATCGTAAGTATCTAACCTTACATTTACACTCTTAAGAGATAATGTAAAACATTTCACATACGAGCGTGCGAAAAGTGCACTTTACCGCACTTATTTGCAAGTCAAAAGTAGCACTTAACCTAACATTATGTGGTAAAGTAACATTACCGCATAGTGTATGGTAAAGTAGACTGCGAAGTGTAAAGTAGACTTTGGTATTTATAATCAAAAATCCCTTCTCTTTCCCTTTTTTAGAGATGTAGAGATGCTCATAAGTAAAATTTTGTACCTAACACACACTGTAAAGTATCACTTTCCGCATTACATATAGCCAAAATTTTCAATTTGCTTGAGAATAATTTCTTGCAAGTACAGAGGTTTATTTTCTCTTCTTTCAGCTCTTACAGAAGACAGCCTTCTTATTCTTTGGAAAGGTCTCTTCTATTCCATGTGGATGTCAGACAAACCTCTAGTTCAAGAAGAATGTGCCGAAAACATTGCACATTTAACACAATGCCTTCCATTAGAGGAAGCCATGCAATTTTTTAAAATTGGTTTAGTTACATTGCAAAATGAATGGGTTGGTATTGATCAGTTGAGATTAGACAAGTTTATGATGGTAAGTGTCATCAATGGCCTTTGATGTAATAATTTTTCATACCAAACATTTGTCATACCAAACATTTTTTCTTTTTAGTTTGTAAGAAGACTTCTAAGACAAGCATTAGTCGCTCTCAAAAACAGCAATTTCAAAAAACATTCCAATCAATTATTTGCAAAAATCTTAGAGGAAACTATTTTATCCTCTACTAAACCAGTCCCTTTAGGGCTATTTATGCACTTCACTGAAATTTATTTGGAAGAGTTAGCAAAAATATCTGATGGTGCTTTGCAATCAAACAGAACAATAGATTTTTTACAACCATTTATCGAAAAGTTGGCTTTTGCAAATGATAACAGAACAATACAGTGGATTATTAAATTTGTTTTCACTCATTTAATGAAGCAACACAAGTTGGGGCTCGAGTATGATATAAAATATCAAATTTGGAAAGAGGTAAGAATATTCTCATTAGCTTTCTTCTTGATGGATCTAGAAATTTCCTATGTCTTGTTTCATTTCAGCAAGGTTTTGTTGGTTCGATCAACCAAATCCAGAAGGTACGGATGGATCCAGAAGATTCTGATGAGGATATTGCTGAAGCGCCTAAATCACAATTAAATAAACCTTTAGATCCGAGAGCTGGTAAAGTGGATGTTGAATTGCCACAAATCCAGTTTAATTGTAAAGAAATTTCTGAGGCTTTATTGCTACCCAAAAGTGATCCTAGGACTTCTAAAAATACTAGAAATCATTTAACTATTTGGTCTGAGAAGTAAGTGTGCAACAAACAAAACTTTATTGAATATTAATAATATTAATTTTTTGAATAGGTTTCTTCAACTGCATAATGGAGTTTACCCGTTAGGACTTAAGAAATTGGAGTCTAAGAAACGAAAAGATTTAGACAAAATTGACACACACATAGGTAGAGCAGCTAAAAGGCTAATCAAGTTTGATCAAAAACTTTTGGCTAGAGATAACAAGGAAAAGAAACGGAAAAGAGATGACTCTGAAAGTGAAGAAAATGTTGGCTTGGAAGAGTTAATTGTAAAAAAGAAACAAAAGAAAAATGTTGACAAAAAAATTAAGACTTCTGTTTCTGTGAATGATAATAGTAAATTGACAAAGGCTTCAAAAAAAAATAAGTCTTTAGAATTGAAGCAGAAGGTGCAGAAAGATGTTCGGATAAATAAAATTAAAAAAAAGAAATCACATATGCTAGAAAATGGAACAAATGGCATAATAGATGAATATAATTATTGTTTCGAAAGAAACTCTGGTGTTTGGTACGTTACTCCCGAAGTTGAAGACAAAAACAAAAATAATCAATCATCACCGCAAAAAGACGCAGAAGATACATGGGAAGACGGCGAATACGAAATATTTGTACCTTCAAAGAAATTCGTCAAAAAAATCAAGAAGACCAAGAGCCCAGAGGAAGTGGAACAAGTTTTGAGCAATCTAAGAGGAAAAAGTAGGGTAGGTGAGGCACTAACTTAGATATTGAAGCATGAATAAGAAAAATTTAAGCAAGACATCAGTCAAAAAGTTATAAAAATAAATATAAGTAAAAAATATCATAAACAAATAGTGAAGAGATATAAATTAAAAGATTATTAACAATACTTAGTGAATAATCAATGAAAACCAATAACATACATAATAGTCCGTCGGATAGCTTCTTCTAGGATGCATAAAAAAAATCGACTTCCAACCAAATGGGACCTTCCCCATTTGAAAAAGCATGTTTTTTTACATAGGAAATGGAAATTGACGACACTCTCCATTGGTCCAGATAAAAGATATAGGCAAAAAACTGGATAAATATTGAATATAGTTTTTTTTATTTTGAACCGGCATAACTTTTGTTCAAAGCAAGATAGAAACAAGTTTTTTTTTTAGTTCGATTCCTCATTCAATTTTCTTTCGTTTGGTACACAATCAATTTCAAAAATTTGGTCAACAAGTTGAGAAAAACAGCAATGTTAAAAAAAAGACAACAAATCGCTAATATTTTTTTTAAACTTACCTTGCCATAACTTCCTTATGCAAGGTATTATTCTACTTTTTCTTTCACCAAAAACTGCGCAATTTAATAAGCTTCATTTGGTCTCGATTATTGTTGGGTATATTTTTTTAAATAAAAGCAGTAGAGACATTTGAACGTAAAGGCGCGCGTTACGAAAACCGGCTGTGCGGCCGTTCCTAGTCTTCCCCTCGTGCCCTCGCGTTCTCCGCGGCCACGTTAAAATTATGTAAGAAAAACTTTGATAATATTTAAAACGAAATGAAATAAATAAATTAATAATATTTTTCATGATTATGATTTATATATTGAAAAAAGTAGTTTTATAGTTAACAACCATGCAATCTTCTTTTTTTTTTATATATCAGGATGAGCTCAATTGAATATTCGTTGTTTCTTTTGTATGTTTCTTATTTACCTATTTAGCCCTACTTTATAATTGTTTGTTATTATCAAGATATTCATTTGTGTCTTCTACTTTTTTTTTAATTTCTTCCTCTATAATAGACAAAATATCAATTATTGCTCCTTCTTATGAAAAGCTACAGATAGGTTTCAGCGTAGAACAATTTTTATGATACATTTCCCAGTCCATTTTTTCCATTTAAAAAAAATGAGCTGTTAGTATCATCTTCAATAATGCTGTGAAACTTGGTAAGCCTTCGCATCCAAATTTGCCAATGCTTTTTGAAATAGTGTGAATGGGAATATATCGTTTTTTATTAGTGGTGATATTTGTGTGACCGGCTTCCATGAATATTTCATTACCTATTAATTATTATCAAAAGCTTATATGTATATATTTAAATAAAATAAAATTTTCAAACATTTTATACCATTAAAGTTTTTTTCTCCAAACGTCAAAAAAAGACTTTGAAAAAACGTCACTTTGTTAACCCATGTCAAGATGTCAGAAATTTGATTTCTATGCTGCCAGGCAAATCCAGCGGGTTAATACCTGTCGAGGTGGTAGAAGTTTAATTTCTATGCTGCTTGGCAACACCAGCGGCAGCAAAAGTACTTTTAGTGCCGCTCGTACTTTTACTGCCGCTCAACCCTTCACTTGTCCCCGAGCTTACCCCATTAGTTTGGAGAAAAAATAGCGTGTTGCATATGGGGTAGGAGCACTTTTTTGTGCTTCAGCAGTATTGCAAGCCTGACTACGTTCGGCTCGCAAACCTACTGCTTTAGCACAAAAAAGTAATGCTTCTACAACTAATACAACAATATACTATTATTATTAATATCTTTAATTATTATTTACCTATTATACCTATTAACCTACAAATGAAACAATGAACATTCAATTGAACTCGTAATAAGTCCTGAAGAAGAAACAAAAAAGGTTTCGAAAGCTTGACATTAATATAAGAAATAAGAATCATACAATATAATTTTTGGCCGATATATCCTGTTATTATTGAAAAAAATGTGTAATTAAAAAAAAAATCCAACAATAAATCTTCAAGTTCAGTAGGATTTTCACTCAGATCGAGACTCAGATTCACATTAATAGCTTTATTAATAGTGTCGCTATTCATATTAATGCAATTCATTTTGCATCTGCAATTCGCACTACAAGAAACCCGCTCTTTTGCACTGTTACTTAAAAGTATTGCAAATTTTGTCATTGCAAAATAGGGAAATAAGTTCCCTTATATCTTCCGGAATTGGAGCTTGCGGTTCAACATTTTTGAAACCATAAAATTTTGTTCATCCATTGAGTTTCCAAATAAAAATGGATCTTTTCACATGTCTACTTCACCAACATAACTATTGGCCCATTTAAATGTTTGATAATTGCATGGGTATTGAGATGATTATGTTTTTTTTTTATAAATTTACCTTAGCACATGTAGATTGGAAGTTTCTTGTCCGAGGCAATTTTTGGGCTTGTTTCTGGCTATTATTAGTATTATTAGTATTTTTGAATAACAAACTTACAAATTACAAATTTTCTGGAAATTATAATTCCTTCTTCAGGTGGCATCATTGAAAATTGGTGGAGAATCTGAGGTGGAGAATAAGGGTAGACCAATTTTTATAATATAATTCCCAGGCTATTTTTTTTCCCATTTTAAAAATTGAGTTAGTAAGTATCATATCCAGTAATGCCGTGGAAACTTGGTAAGCCTTCGCATGCAAATTTGTCAATGTTTTTTGAAATAGTGTGAATGTTTCGTTTTTTATTAGTGATGGATATTTGTGTGACCGAATGTGAATATTTCATTATTATTGAAAGGTTCGTGGGTAGAATAGCGAATAATAATAAATTATCAATCATCAGTATTATCACATTCACAACAACAAGCTTTCCATTTATATTTGCCAATAACATGTGAAAAATAATTCTGGTTTCAGCTTCTTTGTGATTGCAATGACCAATTGTAATGAATTTGTACCTATGTATGTATATATTTAGGGTGAATCAAAACCACAAAAAAACATACAATTTTCTACAAAAATCATCATAACAATCCCTGAATCCCTATTCAAATAAAAACACTTCAATATATATCCACTATATCTTTCATCTGGACCAATGGAGAGTGTCGTCAATTTCCATTTCCTATGTAAAAAAACATGCTTTTTCAGATGGTATAGATATCATCTGGTTGGAAGTCACTTTTTTTAACTCGAAAACTAGAAGGCTTTTGGCGCTCCATCCGACGGACTATAAGTTAACAAGTCGATAGCCGAGAATTACTTTTTAAAAGACTTTATTTCAACTTGCTGACAATATTTGGATAGAAATACAAATATAAATTGAATAATTTCAACTAACTGATTGTAAATCTAAGCTGCAAAGCTTTTATGACAAGCAGAAAAAGTGATTACTCAGTATCTTTTGGCCATTTAACTCATATTAGAGTTAAATAGTTGCAGTAATCTCAAGGAAAGGTGATTCCAAAAGGTTGCTGTTTTGGCCAACAGATGTATATTGAAATAAAAAAATTGTTTTTTTTTCTAGACGAGTCTGAATAAGCTAAAACAGGAAGTTACTACTAGAAAACAAACTTCTAGCCCAAAGAAAGTCATAATCAACACGAAGTTGAACATTTCCCAAGAAATTGACGATCACATATCACAAGTGATCGCTTCGCCACAGGCCCCTTGGGACAGCAGTAAAAAGCCAGGAAAACCTTTGTTGAAAACTCCCATTAAACCTAGTCCCATTAATCCGTTTTATAAACTCAAAAGGTTTTAGGAATGTTAAATTTGAATGCGTTTTAGCGATAATATTAAGTTTGTGACACATTTAGTCCCTTCATGTTCATGGCAATACCAGATATAGCTGAAAATATGTTCATTTCATTTGTGCTTTCAATAGTATTTTCTGGTCTGATGATACCATGAAGAGACGGAATGGGCCGTGAAATGATTTATTATAGCATTTTTGACTTTAAAATATTTTAATTGTTTAATTTGTTCTATTTGAAAAAATATTTTGACATATTGTTTGATCAGTATAATGGAGTTTTTTTATAGTAGGTTTACAAATATTTTGTCAATAAGGTTGATACAATAAACATTCAGAAAAAAAAAATATATATTATTGATTTTTTTGCCTGCAAATTATTGGGAAATATTGGAATTTTATGTTATACAAAAAATATGTATAAAAAAAAATCACTATCATCTAAAAAGGACAATTTCAAATAAATAAAACAAACATCTTAAGTAACCCATTTTTTTTAATGTTAAAAAAAAATTAAACCTACATAATATGCACAAACAAAATTACTATTGGCATAAACGAAAATCAAAACAGGCGCTCCCTGGGAAAACTTACATAATATTATAATATATAATAACCCGAAAACATTTAACTAAATTACTTGCCTAATTAGATTTTTAGATAAATATGTACATTTAGAATTTGTACAAAAAAAAAAATAGATTCAAGTTTATGTACCTATGCACATAAAAAAAAACTTAACTATATTATAAATCTAAATTAGACCAATCTGAATCTGAGTTTGATGATATAGAAGCATCCGCGGCTACGGGAGAATCCAATATTCCGTAAGGACTCACTTCTCCCTCATCTGTAAATAAACTCAGATTTACTCAATACAAAGAAATATTGCAATTGTAATTTTGTTATTCTGTATTGCTATTGATACTCCAATGTTGGAAGACGGGATATTACTGTAAATTTATAATTGGAGGTCATATGTTTAAAAACACATAATGTTCGCATCTTTTTTCAAGTTTTTGTACACTATTATTATTACACTTGTATAAGAAATTATTTATAAGGAAAAATGCACATGCACAAAAAAAAAAAAAGGTTAGAAGTCAATTTCCTTACCTATATGATTTGACAGCATTACATCATCATCATCAGAATCAGTTTCATCTTCATCTACCCCAAAGATTAAGTCATCAGCTTCCTGAAAATTACAAAAAAGGTTCTCATGAGCACGAGTCCCCTATAATGAACTTTAAGGAATTACACTTATATTTATTGGAATTTGGGTCTAAGTATGTACAAAACATCTAAATTTTGAATATTTTTTATACCTAACTACAGCCTACCAATCAAAAGTCATTATTCTCATATGATTATGAGGAATTTTCAGAAACGAATTTGAAAAAACTGATTAGTTCATATTGTGTACTTGATATTTTAATTGTATTAATTAGCAAAAACATTAATAAACAAATTCAGCCGATTTCAGAATAGAAACCAGATAGGAATATATTTTAATCCGCATTTATATTAGGTATGACCACGTATGACTCAACTTTCAACTTATAAATGCCTTATCTACAAAAAAAAAATGATTAAATACGTACCATAGCCTCATCATAATCTTGATCAGGATGATAAGAGGAGCCCTCTGAGCTATCATCATCGATATCATCACAAACATCGTCAAAGTTGTTGTCGAGATTGCTGTTATCAAGATCGTCGTCGTCGTCTGTTTCATAGCCAGGGGGATTGGATAACTAAAAGATTTATGGTGACTTCTTTAGCTGAACTCTCCACTAACCTTTTATAACTTTTTTTTTCCACAGACCAATTCATACAAAAGCGTCCCAGGTATATGGGTTTTGTTAATATCAAAAGTCCCTGAAGTAAGGACAAAATGTAGTAAACAGCTAAAAAATCGTACTATGAAACGAATTTTTCGAGATTTCTGAGTGAGACAAAAATACGTCAGGCCAAAAAGGAAGCCAGGGAAATCTCTACAAAAAAAATTAAGCGTCGTTTTTTTCAAATACGAAATCTTTTCTACAAAATCTTGGAAGTTTCGAAAAGATGCTTATATATGAAAAAAAGATCTTTCATCTTTTCTGTAGAGTATAGTCTTTCCATAGATTTTTTCATGCCCAATGTATTTTTGTCCTAGTTCACAGTATGAGGTGTTTGAAATTCAAGCCACATCATTGGGATCTGAGAAATGATGAGAGATACATGGTTGATTAAATTAGGGAAAATTTATAATCCGATATTTGGTTTCATGGCAATCATAAACTTTATGTTTTTAAATACGGACCTGGATTTTTAATTTCTTATTTTGAATTGTCCTTTTCATGAAGAAAAACGACATACTAAAGTCTGTTTTTTTTTTTAAAGATAATTCCCCAAGTCAAAAATTTAGTAACTATGTTGGCAACACAAGCCTTTTCTACATAAAAAATTTGAAGCATTGACAATTTTACATTGTATTGCCAACATAATGTCAGTTTGACTTTTATCTTAAAAAAAAAACAGATTTTAAATACATGATTTAATTTTCAATTACTTTGACGTTAATTAACTCAAACCAACCCTGTATTTCTCATCGTTTCCGAGATCCCAATGATGTGGCTCCAATTTGAAACACTGTACAGGGTGTTCTCGGGGATCTATTACAAATGTCATACCCTACTAACCTTTTCATTTGACGTTTTTGACAAAACTGTCAAATACAAAAATCATCAAAAAAAAATCAAATCAAATTTCGAAATGCCAGGCCTGCCAGATGGTGTGTAGCCGGCCTAAGACACACGTTTAAAAAATCGTAGTCATCTTTGATATGGTTTTTTTCGAAGATCCGTTACGATGAGAGACAAAATTGAACACATTGACAATGCTGCTTGGCGCTTATTGGTCATGAAAAGCCCTCGGAAAAGCCATGTTCCTGCTGAGGTGAGGTATCCTTTCACAGGGTTGGAATCAGTTCCACAATGTATGTCGAGCAAATATGTAATAACAAAAATATTAAGAGCTCCGATCGTTTCATTAAATAATATATAAACCAAGAAATAGTTGGATTTTCAATATTTATGGCCATTTTGGATGAATCTGAGGAATTTGTCACTGAAAACTGTTACAATATTTTCACGAAATTTACCGTAAAACTGATGTCAACCCTGTAAAAGGTTACCTTTGCTGACTGCAGGTACACAGCATTTTGCGACCTATGAGCAGCGTTGTTTTCGTTTTCAATATAGTCAAGTACTATCTTGGAAAAAAATAAAGTATGTTTTTTTTTTAAGATAATTCCCCAAGTCAAAAATTTAGTAACTATGTTGGCAACACAAGCCTTTTCTACATTAAAAAATTTGAAAGATTGACAATTTTACATTGTATTGCCAACTTAATGTCATTTTGACTTTTATCTTTAAAAAAAAAAAACAGATTTTATATCCTATTTACAATCCGTAGTCCAAAGGCAAAGGTAAATTTATCACCTTTCCCTATCAAATTAGGCAATTCAAACCACGTGACTTTCAAGATGGCGTGGCGGTCACACATGGGCCAAAAAACAGAAAAAAATATCTAGAATCTGCTCGATTTATTAGTTTAGGTACCTAGTCAACAAATATTTTATTAAATAGTCCAAATCAAAGTTGCAAGCAAAACTCTAAAGCAAAATAATTTGAAATACGCATAAAAACACATTCAAAACAAACTTGCTTGGCCGCCACGCCATATTGAATTTCCCTATCTGACAGATGGATTGAATTGCCTAATAGCACTCCACAAAGGTGATCAATTTTACCTTTGGACATCAGATTCAATGATCGGATTGTGAATAGATAATCCAGTACGAGTCAGTTTCAAGCAAACAGGGTGTGTCAAAAAAGTGTAGCAAAGAGCAGAGCGAATGTGAAAAACGTTTCTACAAGGTCTCATTTAAAAAAAAAAGAAAAAGTATACCATTTAAGGTGACATTCATAATAAATCACCCTGTACAAGCTTAACACTTTGCAGCATTGCCAAATTTTATCCTGCTACCTGAAAAATCATTTGCTTTTGTATGAGTTGGTTTGAAGAATTGGCTTGATTTCTAACCAAATGCAGTGAAGTATTTCACTGATCAAAACAGCTGCATGAACTACAAACTTTAATAAAAATCATCAAGTGCAACTCTATAATCTTAGACAACAAGTTTCAAATGAGAAAAGTAGCAAATGAATAGGTATAGGTATAGTATTTTTATTCTGATTTGAAACACTGCATTATACGATTATTCAAAATAAAACAATAGTATATTACAATCCGAGACAGGAAATACTTCATTGCTGGTCGAGATAAACTGAACCTCGAGACAGCAATGAAGTTTTCCGTCGAGGTTTGTATACTATTTTATTTTTATCCATAATTTCTTGAAAAAAAAAAAAATTCGTGAGAACCAAATAAGGTCGGAAAATACTTCACTGCTTCATTTTCCGTCCGTGGACGGGAAATGAGGACGGAAAAAAATTTCCGTCCTCATTTCCCGTTCTGGGACAGGTAATTGAGCAGGAAAATGAAAAGACAGAAATGTGACATTTTCAAATTTTTGAAAAGTCAGTAATGACAACATTTCATATATGGTTAAAAATAAACTAAATATCTGATGTCAGTTTTATTTTTTATTTGCAACCATATATGTAATCTCGACATTACTAACTTTTTAAAAATTTGAAAGTGACACTTTACCTGTGTCACTTCCCTCTTCGATTTCCCTAACCGATTTCCCTATTCGACTTCCCTCACCGATTTCCCTCACTCTAATTTATTCACCTTTGCTGGCAACAATGAGAACATGTCAGGTAAAAACATCAAAACAGGTGAATGACATATTTTGGCATGTTTGTTTTATTTTTTTAACATTAAAAAAATTGAATAACCAATCATAATTAATGGTGTGCTTGCAAATAAAATAGTATACAAACCTCGGAGGAAAGTTTTCATTTCTGTCTCGAGATTAATAGTCAATCTCTCGACGGTAATGAAACACTTCCCTACTCGGTATGTAATATACTATTATTTTCAACCGCATATGTAATGTCATTAGAGACTTTTTAAAATCTTGAAAGAGTCACATTTCTGTATTTTGAAATTTTATCAAGAGGAAATGCATATGCCTGGCAGGCAGGCATATACATCGCTGTCTCGAGGTTTAGTTTATCTTGAGCGTCTCGATAAACTACATAACCTCTTGACCCGCAATCAAGCATTTTCCGTCTTGGATTGTAATATACTATTTCCTACAGCTGTGCGGAAAAATCGATTTTCCGCACTGATATGCGTGCGGAAAAAATTTTACCGCACTGATATGTCAAAAAAAAAAAGAAAAATATTACATTTTTACGCCTGTAGGAAAAATATTGTACCTAACACTTGCGGAAAATATTTTTCCGCACTTGTTAGGTAAATAGCTATTTAAAAATCGCTCGTAAACGTAATTTGATTGTGTGAGTGTTTGAAATATTTTTAGCACTAACTTAACCCGCTAGGGCCCGGTTTCTCGATAGCAAGTCATCTCCGGGTTGTTTTTAACCCCAGGGTAAGCTATGGTTTCCCTGGAGTTATGCTTAACCCGGGGATGACTTGCTATTGAGAAACCGGTCCTAGGGGGGTAGGACCAGCCCTTACCATTCCAAATGGTAAGGGGGTTGAATAATACCTGTTTCAAAAGAGCGTTCAATTTTGTTTCAAATGACATGAAATGAAAGAGAATTGAATGCTCTATTAAAAGAGATATCACTCGATCCCTTGTTCCATTTGAAATAGTAAGGGTTGGTCCCACCATGCCTAGAGGGTTGAAGTTAAAGGCTGGAAATGGTTGCAGAAAACTTTCCCCTTTGAAAATCAAATTACGTGTACAAGCGATTTTTTTAAAAATAAATGTGGCATCAGATATTTTAGCCTGTTTGATTTTAAATGGTTCACCCTGTATACCGTTCCCTGTACAAAATATAAGCAGCGAGGAAATATTACTAAAGTAGCACAAAATAATAATGGGCTCTTTCACTAATTTTTGAAATTGGCATATTTGGATAAAGCAACTAAAAACAGAATTTTCTGTATTTTTACTTTTGAAAAATTCATAGTCCTTCTTGAGAAAACAGAAAAAAAAAGAAATGGCTCCAAATAAAAACCCAGAATTTATTTCTATGGCGTCGCAGCTCGCAATTTGACCGTGTTGCCACTAATTGTCAACATTGAAAATTTGTAATAGATTTAATTCTGAAATGTTCGCAAAATATCATGAAAAGTAGTTAAATTAATTAGTTATGGATTCAAGATTTTATAACTTTTTTATTGAAATTATGCTTAATACAATTTTTTATGTTTAGTTTTTTTTTTTTTTACGTTGCACTACATTTAGTCACCACCGACAACAGCGCATTCGAACCTTTACCTGCTTTTACTACAGGGTACACAGCTGAGGCGGTCGCTTCTTGCAACAACAAGCGAAATGAAAAATATTTATGTGACGTCAGCAAATCGGCGCGTTTTAAATTAATTTGAATTTCGTCAATTTCAAATGCCTGTAAAAAACTTATTTAACCTTGTAGAACATTTTTTTTGGTATATATGCCTAAAATAGTCCCTCCTTTGGGATTTTATACTTAAACTACGTATTTAAATTTTAGTGAATGAGCCCATTTAGGTCGGCACACGCCTATAGGTTAAATTATTGAGGTGTACTTTTTTTATTTATTTTTTATTTTATTTGTCTATAGGTATAACTGAATACATCCTTACCACCTCAATATCGAAATTAGGATCCAAAGGCAGAATCGCTGTTTCAAAATTTGCCTGTATACCTTCAGTTAAATCATCAAGCTCATCTCCTGCTTCAAATTCCTCCCACGGACTTCCCAGAAACTGCTTCATTATGCCAATAGTTCCTTCAGATCTTTGGAACTATCCGATAGTGGCGGTGCACGTTTCTCTATCTTTTGAATTTTCAATTTCAATGGTTTCAAAACGATGGATTTTCCGTTTATTTTGACCTTTTTAAGGGCTTCGCGAACTTCTTCTAAATCGGCTTTGGTGGCGAAGTCTAGGGTACACCAACGACGCGATTTCTAGAAGAAAAATATTTTATCGGGTTCAAATTGGGGTATTTTAAGGTGATCTTTACCTGTCTTGGTAAATGGACAACGGATATTTTAGGGTGCAATTCCAAAATTTGATGTTGGTCTGTGATTTTAATGGGCAAACGTAAATACAATGTATTGCGGTCTTTAGCCTCAGTTCTAGAACAGAAAAGAAAATCTGTAAATTACTTTAAATATGCAGATGATATTAATTGATGATGATATACAAAATTAATTGTAATTATTTATTTGCTGACACAAACAAAATGGCACATTTGAACTTACCCCATTGCACAAGAAAAATTTAAAATAAAAATGCTGTTTGGTGCACTTGTGCACTTGTTTTCTTCTTTTCTTTCTTTTATTAGAGCATGCTCATGGATAGATGAAGGATGAGTTGACTTTTTAATTGACTATTTGTCATGACGTCGCGTCAACATAGTGACAGCTGACATTAGTTTTATGTAATGGTTACACATCTAGGACGAGCTCCGGAACAGCTCCGGGGCGTTTCGCGCTTATTCCTTTCGAAAAGTGTTTGTTGCACCACGCATCTCTTTCTTTCGAATCGGAGACAACTTACACCGGAGCAAGTAGACCTTAGACCATTTGTTCATTCTTTCAGGCATATGCTCAGCACAGCAGACAATTTGACGTTTTATGCGTGCATCAAACGTCAAATTGTCGAAGCAATGTCAAAAAGAGCGAATTTCGCAGTTATGAGTAGTATGCCCGTATTACATCTATGCATTTTTCCGTGTATTTATTCATGTAGTTCAGGGTGACAACCAAAAAACTTCAAACGCAACATAAATCAGCATTATGATAAACAAAATAATGTTGGCATCCTGAACTACATGAATAAATACACGGAAAAATACACAGATGTAATACAGGCATTAGGCTTTATAAAGACGAAAAGTTTGTTATCTCGGGGAGCTCTACTTCCTGGCCCGAGAATCGACCTGACACGACTTGTTATGACGTCGGAAATGGTGACACACCAATATGGCGGCGATTTCCAAAAAAGAAGCCGATAAACAATCCTGTAGGTGTGTATCATCTTTGAGTTCTATACCATTTCCAGTATTATTTCACTCAAATGAAAATTGATTTCAAAGTAACGAAAACTAATTTCTCACAAACGAAATTTGATTTCACATTTTTGAAAATGAATTTCAAACTGACCATAATTATAATACTCATTTCTCAAACATTTATTAGTTTAATTTGAAAAAACATCAACAAATGTTATTTATTTCATCCTAATGAAATAAACCCACTGAGTTCACATAACATAAAATACAATCATGAAACAACAATAATAATTATAAATTATTCAAATAAATTGAACTTCAGTTGAGCCTTTCTCACTCTTGAGATAGCTGCATACCTTTCCAAGTTGAAGTTTAATTTATTTAAATAATTCATAATTATTATTGTTGTTTCATGATTGTATTTTATGTTATCTAAACTTAGTGGGTTTATTTCATTAGGTTGAAATAAATACCGTTCTTGATGTTTTTTTCAAATTGAAATAATACATGTTTGAAAAATGAGTATTAATTAGGGTCAGTTTGAAATTTATTTTCAAAAATGTGAAATCAAATTTCGTTTGTGAGAAATTAGTTTTCGTTACTTTGAAATCAATTTTCATCTGAGCGAAATTAGATTTCACTGATGTGAATTTAGTTTTCATTAATTTGAAATCAAATTTCACTAGTGTGAAATAATCCTGGAAATGGTATAGTTTTCTAGTAACGTGTAGTATGTTCATTAGTTGTATTCCTTTCACACCTAGGAGGAGCTTCGGAACAGCTCCGGGGCTTTACGCGCCTATAGCCTAATACTCATAACTGCGAAATTCGCACTTTTTTGACATTTCTTTGACAATTTGACGTTTTATGCGTGTATCAAAATTTCGCAGTTATGAGTACTAGGCTTATTCCTTTCGAAAAGTGCTTGTTGCACCATGAGTGTTCAAGCCCGAACTCAAACCATTTAAATTCATGAAAGCCAGCGCATCTGTTCCTTTCAAGACGGGGTCAAGGGTCGACTAATACCGGAGCGAGTAGCTCAAGAGTTTTGAACTCTTGAAAGGAATATAACTGCATGTATGGGCCGGGGCGAGGAACTCCATTCTGTGGAGAAGCAATGAATAATCAATGCGTTCTTTTTGGGAGACTCCGAATAACTACGAACGAACACTGCGCTAACTTGGACTGAGTGCAAGGTCTTTTAGATAGCCGCTTTCCAGCTGACGCTTTTGTGCACGCAATCGAGCTTTTGCGCACGCAAATGCTTCAAGCGCGTGTTCGTGTTCCTGCCATACTGCGCTTCGAGAGCTGCTAACTTTTGCGTTTCAAACACAGAACACTGTGTTGCACCGTGCTTGAAGCAAACAGCTGAAAGCGGCTATTGTTAGTTTGTCGTGTTGTTCGAAGCAACTCTTCCTGCTTTGGGGAGTTCCTTTGTAGTTTGTATTATTGGCAACTGACGAGCGTTAGTTGACTTGGTGACATCATAAACCTGAAACATTTTGCGCCCAGTTCAAGTAAGTAGGCCTATTCGGGTTTGGAAAAAGGACAGTTCTAGAACGGTTCAAAACAATCGTCCAGTTTATTGATCAACAAAATAAATCCAAAACTTCAACATTGAGAAACATATGAAATATTCCGTTTTGAGCAATGGTTTTGAGCGTTGCAGACAGCATAGCTGCTTTCGGGTGCCTCCTTTTGAGCGCTCCCGAGTTAAGCCTAGTACACATAACTGCGAAATTCGCATTTTTTGACATTGCGTTGAAAATTTGACGTTTTATGCGTGTATCAAACGTCAAATAGTCGAAGCAATGTCATAAAAATGCGAAATTCGCAGTTATGAGTACTAGGCATTACTCAGAAGTACGCCAGCAACAGTTTGACCCGTTCGGTATCAAGTGTTTGATTGCAAAATGCATGGAGAATGACAGGTCACTGACAGTTGTGAAGTGTTCCAGGAGCTTCTCACGCTGCACCCGAAAGCGGCTCTGGTCATGGCGCAAGATATCAAAATAGCGAAATATACAAGAGAACCATGGAATGTTGTCTCAGTCTCACTGAGTTTCGCGGGAGTACATTATTTACTCTATTCTGACCTAGCCCACTCCTCCTCGAACGCTAGCAGGTTGAACATGAGTTGAACAGTTCCCGGTTCTCGAAGATCCAAATTTAAATACAACACTCGTGGTTCATTGCCAAAACACATATAAACGCCCTAGCATAAGTGTTTTATTTTTAACTGCTAGATATGCTCCGAGCAGATCTGAATCTGAATTCCGCTCCCCTGATTTAAGATAGGGTTCACAAATCAGCTTGGACGCAAAAATGAAAACCTCAAAATTAAATAGGTTATGTGTTTTGTTTACTAATATTTCTGTAAATTTAATTTTTGATTTAGTAAAGAACTCTACCTCTGATTTAAGTAATAACTAATAAATAATTTAAATTTTAAACGCTCAATACTAGATAATGGACGAAGCAAGAGCCCCTTCACCGGAAGCAACAGGTTCTCCAATGGAATCATCCAAAAAACCTCCAGTTTGTCTTCTAGTCTTAGGAATGGCGGGAAGTGGTAAAACATCGTTAGTGAATTGTCTAGCTGGTGGCCGAGGCCCCCAAGGCGAGAAGCCCTACGTAGTAAATTTAGACCCTGCCTGTATAAACCTACCATATTTTGCCAGTATCGATATAAGAGACACTGTAAATTACAAAGAAGTTATGAAACAATATAAATTAGGACCCAATGGAGCTATTGTAACGAGCCTTAATTTGTTCTCCACAAAATTTCCTGAAGTTATTGGATTTTTAGGCCAAACTGGTAAAGAGTTTTGTGTTCTGGATACTCCTGGACAAATTGAAGTGTTTGCTTGGAGTGTATCAGGTTCAATTATCACCGAAACTTTGGCATCAACCTTTCCAACAGTTATTTTGTACGTTGTTGATTGTGTAAGAAGCACATCTCCAGTTACTTTTATGTCAAACATGCTATATGCATGTTCAATATTGTACAAAACCAGATTACCGTTTATCATTTGTATGAACAAAGTCGATGTTGTTGATGCCAGCTATGCAAAAGAGTGGATGACTGATTTTGAGAGCTTCCACGATGCTCTTGAAGCTGATGAGAGCTATGTCAGTAGTCTAACAAGATCCATGTCTTTGGCTTTAGATGAGTTCTATAAAAACTTAAGGGTTTGTGGTGTAAGTGCAGCGACAGGACAAGGAATTGATGAGTTATTTAAATTGGTAGAGGAATGTCGAGTGGAGTATGAAACAGATTATAGAGCAGAATGGCAAAGAATTAAGGTGGAGACTGAAAAAAAGAAATTGGAGGATTCGATAGCCGCCCTTGAAGTGTCAGATGGTGAGGATTTGTTGACTTCTGTGCCTGCTGGAGTGGAGCTTTCTGATGTTTATTTGAGGAAACCTGATGGTGAAAGTTCCGACGATAGTGAAGGCGAGGAAGAAGCCTATGCAGGTAAAAATAAGCTTCATTATGGACCTATTTCTGTGGTCCAGCAGAAATTTGAATTTCAGCAAATAGTCACAGCTCCATTATTCACTCATTATTCATTTCTTTCAAACTGCTAAAACGAAATTAGTTCTTTGTATTCACATATCAGTCTTAAATATGTCTGTATAATAACAATAATCCTTGAATCTTGCAGATACACTGGATGTGGAAGAAGAAAACGCCTTCAAAAAAGTGATGCAACAACAAAAAGAGATGCAAATTAAACGAGCAAAAGAAGCTGAAGATAAAAAGAAAACTCAGGGGGAAACTTCTGGGATGAAACACTAATCTAATAAATATTTTTTTTTTTCTAAGCAGTGTAGTTTTATTATAGGAAAAGGAAAACAAAACCCATTTAGTTAACGACCTTTATTTTTTATTCAAACAAAACGATGCCTAGTGTCAAATAATAAAAAAATAAATATGACAATTCTTGTATGTACTAACAAGTGTAAGAAAAAAATTGACCCATTAATATTAATTTTATTTTTTATTATTGCAAAACAAAAGTCAATTTTTTTCTTATTTGAATAATCAAGGAAAATATTCTAGAAAATAATTAAAGGTATTTCTACTTTTAGACTTTGAACACTATAATATCCAGCAGGACTGTGTTAAGCTTATTATTTTATCACGAGATTCTATTTTCTTATTACATTAGTGTTCAAATTCTAAACACACATATTTTTTTATGTGTAAGTATAAGAGGTTATTTATAGTATAACTAAAATATTCTTCTAGAACAAAACAGTCTTTGCTCCCATTTAAACAAAAGAAAAAAACAAACAAAATAGAAACCCTATTGCCTTTATCAGGGAAACAAAAAAAAAGCCCTATTTAAAACCAACAAAAAAAAAAACACTATAACAAAATAATAGACAAAACACATTAAGCAGGCGATAGGGTTCTGAACAAAATCACTAATAAAAAAAACAAACAATAAAATAACTCTAAAAAAAATACATAATCTCTTTCTAAAACTGATTATTGGGCGAATGTGGTTTAGATTGAACCAATTTGATTTTTCGCCCAATGATCAGTTCCATTTAACAAAAAAAAGATCAATTTTCCTTTAAAAGAAAAATTGATTTGGAAACAAATTGTCACCAGCGCCCAAGTTGCGTGTGGTGGCACTGGTAAATGTGGGAAGTCGGGTAAACCTGTTGGGAGGGATCGATCTGGTTGGGATTGCCAAATCCCGAAACTGCATTAAATTGGTTGTTCTCAGTGTCGGAAAACCTATAGAACGTTATCAAAAAAATTTGGTTTAAATATCATAACGACATTGCTTTTACTATTTAAGCGATAGTTCCTTCATCAATAGTTATGAATTCGATTAGTTTTATGTTCCTGTTTAAATACTTTCAGTAGCAATTTCAGGATAAGAACATTTTTATTCAATTTTCAAGAAGGTTTAATAATTTTAGTCACCAATTCTTAATAGGAAATAGGAACAGATATCTAAGATGTTCTCACTCCTTTGATAGTCGGTTTATTATTTATAGAAATAAAAATTTGCAACTCATTTGCTTTTAGACAATCAACTTTAAAACTTATCTCAATTTTCTTCCCTATTGAGAGTCCATGACCAAAACTAAAAAGCTTTATGGTGTTTTGGAATCATTTACCTACACCAATCAATTCCTCCTTAAAACCAAAAACAAACAATATTTTTTAGTGGATGAGTAGTAAACAACTTATCAAGAACATCTATTGCATGCAATCAATTTCTAGTTTTAAACAGAAAAATAATGTAACCTTAGATGAAGAAACCAGCCATATAACTTCTACCTCAATCCCCCAAAAAATTATTAACCTCAGATTAGCTAAGCAATACAAGGTATATACTTAAAATATAAATTAGTATTAACATCTTTACAATCACAAAAAAATAAAACGTACCCCTTTCCAATTCCTGTAAATTACTCAGCTGCAAAAAAATAAAATTTCTGATAAAAAATAAAATGTAACTCTTCGAATTCCATCTATAAATAAATAAATATTGCATCGATGCCTTTTTTGAGAATTAAAAAAAAATCATGCCCTCGCTAAAACTAGAACCGTCTTCTCTTACCCCTCGCACCTAAACCTGCAGTTAATGGATTCCAAGGTTCCAAATATTGAGCTTTTTGTCTTCCGTGGTCCTGAGCTACGCGAACAGAGAGGGGCAGGATGGCGTTCAGTACTACTTTACCGTCCAAGTCTGCTATTGCTGCCTGGGCTTCTTCGCCTTTGGAGAATCTAAATTTAAAAACTGTATTCAGAACAAGTTTTTCTAGGAACTTTGTTCCAAGCGCAAAGCAAAATGTGGAGAATGGGTCTGATAGTAAAATCGTGGTAGTTTATAGAGATCAAATTTCAGTTCAACATTTTGAAAAATAAATCAATTAGTAAAACAAAAATTTGAACCTATTCAAGTGAAAACTACAAATATCTGTTTGACCAATAGAATTGATGTAAAAGAAGAATCAAAGTCCAAAGATCAGTTTATTGGTGTTGTCGCTTTTTAGATACAACAATTCCTTATTCTGCCAAGATGCGTAGTCGCAGATGCCCATCTCACCACGCTACATGATGGGATCCAAAAATCCAATATCCAGGATACACTGATATCTGCTGGAACACAATGGCATTTTATTCCGCCATCAGCCCCGCACTTTAGAGGTTTATGGAAAGCTGGAGTAAAATCCATGAAATATCATTTAAAAAGAATTATTGGAGACACAAGACTCACCTTTGAGGAACTGTGCACGCTATCACACCAAATCGAAGCCTGTCTCAACTCCAGACCCCTAGGTCCATTATCTAATGATCCAGAAGACCTAGCAGTACTTACTCTGGGACATTTTTTGATTGGAAGGGAAATAATCTCATTATTTTAGATTAAGATTATTAGTACTTATTGGTAGTTTAATTTGCCTGTCGCACCTCGATCTTGTTTCATAAGTATGATCAGCTAACATTTTCATGTTAGGTCGAGTGTGTATATAGGAGCAAACTTTGAGAATATATATTGATCGAATGTTAAAAATGTCTCTGTCAAAAAGCAAATGTGTAGGATACAATCTATTTTTTTTGAGAATAATTTTTATTATATATTTTTGTATTATGTTCAATTTGTACAGGCTATTATTATAAAGTCCACCCCACACCAATATTCCATATCCTATACAGCCAAGTCAAGAGGCTGAACAAGATGGAAACTCCAAATCCAAGAAAAAACAAAAAAAACCACGAAGCATTCACCTGTGGAAAATTGCCATTCTGTTTATGAACACTTTACACAGTGCTATTGCGCAAAATTACACAATTCATCATCCAGAACCCAGCATATTCATCGAACACATTGGACACGCCAAAATTGACAGAGGAAATTTCAGAATCGAAATCGAAAAGTCAAAAATATCTAACGACACTTCCAACGTAGCCCTAGCGATTAAACAGGTGGCTGACCTTTGTCGAGATGCGAAAGAAATTGCAACATCAAGCCACGAGAAAAGGAAAAGCAACTTTTCTGGATGGAAAAAGGAATGGAAGCTGTGGTCACCAAGCCAGAGAAGCGGGGACTTTTGGGCAAGTTTCTCACTTCAATATTTGGAGTCAAAGACGAGCTTGACAAAAACCAAAGGGAGCTAATCAAAGCCTCAAATCACCAAAATAAGTTTATGTTGCATGCTCTAGCAACATTCAACGAAACGGAGACTAGAATAAACAATAACAGAAAGATTTCAACAGAAACTGAATCGGGGCATCAAGATCCATTAACGGGATTCAAGGTTGATTCCAGATAGACGAACTTCTAGAGTACTATAGAAAATTACTGGATGTATGTACCATCGTCACCAAAAGTATCTGGGACACAAATAATGCATAATAATCTCCTGGACTAAATTCTACTGTCGTTCATTTCAATGCATTTAATGCATAGTTTGACAAATATTTGACAATAAAATTCATATAATAGGACAAGAGCTAATGTGATGCTGTCCCAGTTACTTTTGGTGACGATGGTACATTATCATCGAGCAAACCTTTACGAACTAATATCTACAGCCCATGCCGAAGAAATCATAGCATCCGCATCCCAGAAGCTGCCGTCAAACATTAATATCATTTCCTAACCAATTTTACGTACTGAAGTCCGTCACAGCGATGAATTTATCCACGTCTATGGATACTTTATAATGACAGAAATCAACGATTTCGTTTTGTTAAAACCAACACGTATTCCAGTCAAGACCGAAAAGAATGCGTACTGGATTCTAGAACCTATTAGCAGCTGATTATAATTCTCAGTTGTATTTTGATGTGAACATCATGCCAAACTCGACGCTATTCCATCCAGTCAGCCGCATGGCATTGCGCCAGCTTTATACTCCAAACACACGGATGGCAATAATTACCAGTAAACAAAATCCCGATTGCACCTAAACTAGAGGTGGGCCAACCTGCGATTTTGATGGAGCTGTGACAAGACGTGACTGCTCCAGTCGTGTCACTGTGACAAATAGCAGTGATTTTTTGGAGCAGTTTTACCTTAGTTGGCGGCCGTGCTGCTAATAGTATGTTAATGCTACATCGCAAAATGGCATAATCGCAGTCCGCAGTCACGGCCAAGGGAGATATTCCAGTTTCCAGCCTGCCCTCTGCAGTAGCAGTTTCTATTTGGCATGACCGCAATGCGATTTATAATATTATATTATTTCATGTGTATCACTTAGCTCGAGTTTTGTCCGCTCTGCATCGGTCGGAGCTTGAAGCGAGCAGAGACAAAATGTCACTGCTACTTGACTGAGACTGGAGCAGGCCGTGACTGTTACAGACGAGTAGCAGTGACAAAATCACAGTTCGTGAAATCGCAACCCACCCCTAATCTAAACATTCCGGTATAGGATTCGGCACCTAGGCATATTTCATTGGTCCGTTTGAATTCGCACCGCCAATTAATGCGGAGTGCCGAAATCCGTACTTGAATGTTGAACGGTGCTGAACCTCAGGTCGGAATGGTATACGTATACTATGTGGAGTGCCGAATCAAAGGTCAAAATGTTAAACAGTGCCCAGCTGCAGGTTGGAATGTTACTCCGTTAGTGCGGCACAAAATCAACAAACAAACTTTATTTACTTTTTGTTACACATTTATTTTATTTCAACTTTAAATTTCAAAAAATCTTGGACAATAATTTGCAGTGGCAGACCCAGGGGGGGGGGGGGGGATTATGAAAACCTGAAACCTAACAAATTAGAGTAGAAAATTTTGAAAATAAACAACCTAATATAGTTATCTTTTTTTTTTGGTATCTGTAGTGCTTAGTTTAATAAAAATATCAATTGAAGCCAGGCAACAGAAGTTTTTGGATTTTCCTTTCTTATTATTTCCTTGATCTACTTTTTTATAAGATAAGCACTATGATGGCATACAAAAACATATCTAAAAAATGTATTTTCCAAAGTCTATTCGCATCCAAGAAGATTCTACGTCATTGAACACAAACCTGCATTTGAATCTGTTATAAATATTTTTTTCTACAAGCGTGTTAAAAATGCAATTTTTAACACCGCCCCGTAGCATTAAAAATGTTACTTTATCGCACTAGTGCCATAAAGTCTTTATAGCACTAGTGTTAAAAATGAAACATCAAATTTTGAGAGCGAATGTCAAAAAAAGTTTGTATTTTTAGTTATTTACATTGATATTAATGGTGAAATTTGAACAACTGAGGTCGCCCGATTGGCCGCCTCATCTATATTTTTTCAAGGGATCGATGCACCCCTCTTTTTCTTCTGAATTTTGTTGCATTTTTAGCAAAAACGTATGAGCATTACTGACCACGACAGACTTTCAAGAAACTGACAAGACATTTCATTACCTGTAAAACAAGGTGCTGGATGTTTGGATTTTTTGACAAATGTCAAATTTAATAATTTTATGTAGGAAAGATGTCCAATTTATTATTCATTCAAAAATCTAACTTGTTACTGGTTATTGCTTTTTATTGCCGTTTGTAGAAAAAATATTGTATGATATTTGTGTTAAAAGTATTTTTAAGGCACTTATGTGAATTGCAGAATTCGCTTCGCTCATTCTGCAAACTTTCACATGCGTGCCTTAAAAATGTACTTTTAACACTCATATCATAAATAACTATTCGCTGACTTCACATTTCAATTCGTGTATGTTATATCACTATACTCTTCTATCCACTGCTTTATATCGTTTTCCTCCAAAATGTTGGCTCGGTAAATTTGCTCACCACATTGAAAGTGTTTAAATGATCCAGGAAAACTCATCTTGCATGTTTAAGTTGGTTTAAACACAAGAACACATGAAGCAACGGCGAAATAAACCGCATCCGCCGCAAAATTGTAGCTAAGAGGAACACGAAGGAGGCGGACAGCTGATTTAATATAAAAACCGCGCCAAACGCATGGCAACATTCGGACCTGATACTCAGCACTGTTTAACATTTTGACCTTAGATTCGTCACTCCACATGGCTGTTGCTAATGGACCATTCTGCCCTGAGGCTCAGCACCGTTCAACATTCAAGTACCGATTTCGGCACTCCGCATCAATTGGCGGTCCGAATTCATAACACCAAACCCGATTTTTACAACAAAATTTAGGGAGCGTCAATAAATCGTGACCTTACACAGCAAACATTTAAAGTGTGTTTTCTTTTTTAGGGCCAAATTATGGACTGACTGGTAAACGTCTGGTTGTTACCTAGCAGGTACTTTCTATGCACTAGAAAATAGAAAGTACCTGCTAGGTAACAACCAGAGACTTACCAGTTGGTCCATAATTTGGCCCTTAAAGATAATTCCCCAAGTCAAAAATTTAATAACTATGTTGGCAACACAAGCCTTTTCTACATAAAAAAATTTGAAAGCATTGACAATTTTACATTGTATTGCCAACATGCCATTTTGACTTTTATCTTTAAAAAAAAAACAGTTTACAAAATTTGAAAGCATCGACAATTTTACATTGTATTGCCAACATAATGTCATTTTGACTTTTATCTTAAAAAAAAACAGACTTTATGATATGTTCTAATCCTCAATTTTTGCTGTTTGTACCACCAAAGCCTGCAGGAGCTCAGAAAAAACACCTCTATTATTTTTCTGTATAAGGTGATGAATGGTCTTATTGACTGTCAAGATATTTTATCTTCTATATGTATAAATGTCACTCAACGAAATACTCGCCAACAATGACATATCGATCTTTTTAATATTACATTGCCTAGGTTAACGAAATTGTTAAGGACAAGCATTGAGTTGTAAGAATATTACCAATATTCGTAGTTTTAAGAATGCGAATGTACCATTTGGAATAATATGTTCTGTAGAGCACTTAATTAATAAATAAATAGAAATATATGCATTTTGTATAAAAACTGTCCTACAACTAACATACCTCACAAAAGCTACTCCTCTCGGTAATCCGCTGTGTTTGTCCTTTAAAAGAGTACGCTGCACAATTTCCCCATATCTACTGAATAGTTTGTCAATGTCATGCTCAGTTATTTCCTTCGGCAGATTGGTGATGAACAAATTGGAATCCTTCATGTCGTTTCCCGGCGGTCTTGAGTAGGAGACTTTCAATCTTTTGTTACTGAAATGATAGATGCTTTTGTAAGACATGCTTTACAAGAGTATTTGGGTGCTACTCAATGCTACCACTAATCAAATTAGGTTGTTATTGATAATTTGCAATTTCTTGACTAAAAGGAACTCCTGGTTAATTAAGTTCAAACCGCTATACAACGTACTTTGTGATTACTTTAGCTTTGTTCCAACACGTCAAGAAACAGTACGTCACGATTCTGCACAAAGCCAAATATTTGTGTGTAGAACCCAAAATTCGTATACAGAGTGGTTTCGAAACCGTTCATGAGATGGTTTTCAACTTGTTGGAACCAACCTTTTTGGGGTAAAATATTGTACACAAAGCGAGGGGTTTTTACTTATCTTGGGAGGCCTTGGAACCAAAACTGGCCACACTCATTTAGCAAAAGTAAAACTTCATTTTACTAAAACTGGGTGACTAATAACAATAACTATTATTTGCGTTTTGTAAGAGTCGAAACTGCTAAAGATTTGCCTCCCTACTTCCAATTAAAATCTACCTAGGTGTTTTAATCATTTAATCTTTCAGATGAGATACCTACGCTAGGATCACAAACTTGCCAAACTCAACAGAATTATTTGAGATTGTACAGAGTTATAATTATCTAAGTTGTTCTGGCTCTTTTAAATATACAAAAATTCGAGAATTTGTGAATGAATTGCAAAGTGCTTAGAAGAAACTATGTTCCAGTAATCTGTATTTCACATTTTTTGGTAATGAATAAAATAATAATCAAAACCAAAACAAAGAGTTCCTATTGTTCTAGGTTGTAGGTACCTAATTCGCACAACAGTGGTTGAATAATTTGGTAAATTCAGGCAAAATTTGCTTTGCTTTTTTCGAGGCAGGGACAAAATAAAACATAAAACAAATCACTCCGTTTCAAAAAAAAAAAAAATTCTTGTACTCATAGAAAAAAAAAGGAGGCACACTGGGCACAGTATCTGTATGTGTTCGTTTTGTGCTTTTTTCGTTTCATCTTTGATCGCGTACTTAATTATTATTTATGATTTTCATATTTAACGCAAAAGGATAAAGGCATAAGGATAAAGGTTAAGGAAAGAGAAAAAGAGGGAAAAGGCGAAGTGGAGGAAAAATTTTCATGTGCGCATAGAGAAGAAAAATTTTGTGAACCTATTTTTTAAACAATTTGTTTATGTAATAATTTCTTTTCGTTCTGCTTGTTTCGAGATAGTATTTTAAAGGGAGAAAATTGTATTGTAGTGTAGTACCTACATACATGTTTTTGTGTTTCATCCCAGCCTTAAAAAATAAATCAAAACGTGGGCGATTCTTTCAAACAGAGGAATTTGTTCTACTCTGTCCCTTTCCCACAAACCTTCTATTGTATCAAATTTATTAGGATACAAACTTGCTCCACAATAAATATAAATTGAATTATGGTTCAACACAATAAATTGAAAAAGAACAAGTTTATTCATTGTTCATGGCAATGTGGGACCTTTCCAGTTTTGCATCATCGAGTGCACCGATTCTGATAAATAAAATTGTTACCCGTAAATTCTTACCCAAAATTAAACCCATTGAGTACGCTGATAGCCTTAGCGGCGTCCGCTTCATTAAAATATTTCACAAATCCAAATCCGAAACTGTAACCTGTCTTGTAATCCCTCATTATTTTAATACTCTCAACATTTCCCAAAGGAGAGAAAATCGGTGCCAAATCTTCTTCAGTTGCGAATTGTGGAATATAATTCACAATCAGTTTGGTCTTGTCTGAAATGTCCGGACTGTCGCCGGCACCGTTCTGGTCCATTGCTTTGAGTTGGAAATTATCTATTTCCTGGAACAGATCTTTTGACGCAAACTGGAAAATAAATGCCAAAGTTTTTGATATACAGGTGAACCTAATTGGTATTTTAATTGTTTGGTATTTGTAAATACAATGTGGATAAAAAGTCAGGAAACCATGAAAAAAAAAGGTAATTTTCAAAGCTACATTTGGACATCCCACTGGATGCGTATTCGTACTACTTTGTGGTTGTGAATAATTGGGGGAGTTTGAGCCTATGACAACTGCGCTTTGTTCAATAGAAATGATTTCTGGTTTGTGAATCAAAAAGAAAAGTCATTTATTTTGTAGCGTGTGCTTTGATAATAGCGATTAAAATAGACTTTGAACATAGGTACCTATATGAGGTATTGTGAAACGAAAAAATGAAGCAATCAATGAACAACGATCTTGAAATCTGAAAAACTATCATAGACATGTCGAAGTTACTTTACTTCATGGAGTATGGTTTGGTATGGATATCAAGAGGTTAAGTATGAAAGCATAGTTTTGATACTGAATCTACACAAAGCGGAATGACTTGAAAATGATTCAAGGATTATCGAGAGGATTATGTTCTCACCTAAGTCAATACGTAATGAGTGAACTATACCATAGGCGATAAGGATGATCCTTGAAAGAATTTGCACTATAACACAAGTTCTACATTCTTCATTAGCATGAAAGAACAAGTCTAAACAAATCTGATTTTCTTCCAAAAAAAATTAATACTTCATGGTGTAGAAACTCACAAAAGTACGGAATATCCATCAATGGTTACCCATAGGTTGTAGAACTTGTATTTGAAATTTTTACATTTTTTACTTCACAAAATTTGATGACCCATAAAACATATTGAAAATTTCAGGTTGTACCTGCTCTAAGTGTGATTTTGTTTATGTGGATATTGCATTATTCCTGACCATGCTGAGCTATAATACAACCTATAGGTGCACAGACTATAGATAGTTATTCCATTAGAACCGCAAAAAAGGCTGATGACATGTTTCCAAAACCTCTTGGGCACATAATGAATGAATCATACCTATAACATATAAAACCCTAGCTTTGGGAAACCACTGATCAAGGATATTACCTTTGATAACAAAAATTAAACAAAACAATAATTCCTAGGACTCAAGATCAGAGTATAGTAGAGTTTAAAACAACTATATATTTGATTGTGAAAAGTTCTTAATTTGTAACTGCTGGAAACAAATCTGGCCTTGTATGCTCAGAACAGGGGAGCAACGAGCTTCTCAATTCAATCATACTCATAACTCATCAGCTTCTGTTTTTTAAGAATTGAGATTCAAATCTACTTGGAACAGATGAAGCTTATACAAATAAACCAAATTAAAAAAAAAGGTAATTATTTACTATAGCCCTTTCACCTAATATATCATGATTGATGTCAATCCCTGATCCTAGAAAGAGCAGAATTTTATTCATAAGAACAGTGCCCTCTTTCTTATTTTCTCCTGGATAACCCAAGCTTTGCAGCTTCTAGAGTTGAAAGCAGAGAGAAACAAACAAGCACAAATATTTTGGCTTGTCTCAGTGGATACTGGAAGGGCTAGGACTTGCTATGGAAAACTATTCCAATAATTGTTCTTAATATACTACCCATAGTGAATCTTATTTTTAAAATCAAGAGACCTCAATTGGAAGATATTCTCATAAACTGCTTAAAAACAAAATCCAGCTCCAGCTAGTTCCAAGTTTGTGTTTTGAGACAAAAAGAAGCAAAACACAAAAAATGGGCAAATAAAATCAACCTGAGGACAAATGCAAGGTTGCTTGAATACTTACCGGAAACGAACCAAGAATTTGCGACTGTTGTGAGCCGAATCCTATTCCAAACATATTTCTGAAACTAAAAAGTTGGATCATAAAGAAAAGCAGCAAAAGACAACGTTAAATACAGCAAGTCTAATAGATCGTAAAAGTTGAAGCATAAGCAAACCGGGTACGAGATAGAGAAACGTTTTTCGCAATCGTTCATTACATAAAAGGAAAATGAGTTGTCAGATAGGTACTTTTGTCAAAGGAGTTTTTAAATGTTAAATTATTGTAGTAGGTATATTTATTTTTAAAGGCTTTAAATGAATTGTTACCTGAATCTTGAAATGTATTGGTGGAAACGTTAATACAAAGGCAATTTTCTTTCCAAAAGTTCCTAAAATTTGGTTGTACTTTTTTGATCAAAGAAAACCATTAAAAATTCAAGAATCGACTTGTTCGCTGAGTCAAATCTGGCGGTGTTTTCAAATGGCGGCTATTTATAGACCAGCATCTACTTTTTTTTATCTAGTTTGGGTTTATTTTGGTATGGGTATTCTACTTCAAAAATATTTTTTAAAAAAAACTAACCAAAAACAATAATAACTGTATTTATACTTGTAGCTGAGGAGTATGAGGAGAGATGGCGCTGTAAGCGGGCGTATTTGGTTGGGTTGGTAGCTGTTCTAGAACTGTCTGAAGTATGTTCAGTAATTAGTAAAATAAGGTGTTCGCAAAGAATTCGCAAACCAGTCAGAGTGAACATTGGTTGAAACCAAGGATAATACATATTAATAAGGATTGTTTATCGGCCCCGTTTTTGGTAATCGCGGCCATACTGGTCTATCACCATTGCCGACGTCATCAAATAAGTTTTCTGCTGTTTGCGCCAACGGTCCTAATTTAGAAATTAAATTTATGATGAATATATCATTTAATTTTGATTAATATAATAGCCAAAGAGGAAGATGCAAACGAGATCTAAAAAAGAGTTGTTTTAAAATGTTAATTAATGTAGTAAAACAGTGAAACCAAGTAAAAAAAAATATACATGAAGCAAAAGCCCCCGGAATCATAATCTGTGGTGCAAACAGCCTACGTCAAGGCGAGAAACGACATGTTGCACGTCACAACTGATGATTTGACTTGGCGTGGGGCTTCAGATTTGTTCTACACAGGCCTAATGAGGATAGGCTACCCTGTAGTAGAGGTGTGTATTATCCTTGAATTAAAACTGCTGGTTTTTTGACTGTTTTTGACTGTTTCTAACCAATAAAATTCACTCTGACTGGTTTGTGATTGCTGTTGGAACAGACCTATAATCGAGTAGTTAACATCGAACTAGCCTGGAACCTGGAACAGTTCGTTGTTCGGGTCAAAAACTGAGCAGTACCGTAGTTTCAGTACCATGTGGATTTTTCTGCACTTTCATGCCTAAAGAGTTATGTGTAAAAAACAAAAAATTTTGACGGTTGTCTGCATTTTTATCCTGGAAACTGTTTGTTTAATCTTTAAGAAATATAAAGATTCAACTCTTTCGCATCCTCATAATACAAGGAATCATGGCTGCATTGCACTACCTATTCCTCATTAATCCTCATTCCACTCAAACTAAACAGTCTCTTATATATGACAGTGTTAAAATGTACAACAAACTCCCCAATTACTGCAAACTTAGTGAAGATTATGGGAGGTTTCGGAGATCGGTGAAAGAATTGTTGGCTGTGAAGGCCTATTATGATACTGATCATTTACTGATGAGTTCTTTAGTGACATATTCTAGTCAGAATGCAAGTACCTGCCTACTCTTCGTTTCAGGTTTTTTGTCTTTTGTCTTTTGTTCTCATGTATATTATATGTACCTACCAACAACTTGGAAATTGTATATATTCAATATTTGACATCTAAACAATTTATGTCTTGTATTGTGATATTGTTGACTATTTTATTCTCATTGTTTTTTGTATTATGACTATCACCAAAGAATTTTAACTATTTTAGGTATTTTATGAATTGTATTTTAATTATTTTATAAATTGTATACACTTACCCTAATACAAGTTAAGCATTTGACATTTAATTGTAATATTTAACTTTCACTATTTTTGCTATTGCTTTGTCTATAAAAATCCTGTATTTTGTGACAATAAAACCTATTGAATTGAATCGAATTAAACTCCAGGATCTTTTATCCCAAAGAGATGAGATAGTTGCCTCTTTAATTTCTCAACTTTATTTTCATCATCGTGGAAAATAAAAAAGTAATCCAAGATCTGTTTTTTTTTTTAAAAGATAAAAGTCAAAATGACATTATGTTGGCAATGCAATGTAAAATTGTCAATGCTTCCAAATTTTTTATGTAGAAAAGGCTTGTGGTGCCAACATAGTTACTAAATTTTTGACTTGGGGAATTATCTTTTAAAAAAAACAGTAATAGATAGTGTAGATGCAACACGCAACTTTCATGTGATGAATTTATATTTCAGTTCTTGAAACTTGTCAACGATATTTTATCCCAAAGTGCTGCGATAGTTGCCTCTTTAATTTCTCAACTTCATTTGGATCATCCTGGCAAATAAAAAAATCGCACAAGTACAAAGTACAATAGAATGTTCACAAAATAAAAAAAATCCGTTTAACCATCATCAAATTATTAAGCATCGTTTCATAAGGGGGGTGTGCGCCAAAACAATAACTCATCTCAAAAAAAAAACATCTAAGAATAACAGTGAAATCCGCACCCCTCTATGACAAATAATACCGCAGATATGGCTCTATAAAGGTACCGCATCTCACCCTATGACGTCACGAAAGCTCAAGCGACGCACGAGAAAGTGGAGTTATTTAAATTTACATATGTTTTTCCTGTGTTACCTGCAATAATCTAAACAAAAACCACTCACGCGTGCCGGGAACAATCAAATTAACAATGCGGAGCGCGGCTGGACGAAGTTCTCGTGACGTCACGAGAGCGTCGTCCCCACTTTAAAGCGGTATATCTCAGCGATGGTTCATCGTAGAATAACGAGGTTTGAACAGTTCTTAGATTTTTTTACACTAAAACGTTCATATTTTTGGCGCACACCCCCTATAAGTAAATCTACAAAATTATACGAAAAACAGAAAATTCTTTCTATAGAAAAACGGAGACAAAATATTGATATTCGTTTAAACGCACGAAACGCTGTCTGACGTCACAATGCGTAATGAGTTAGCAAGCGCAAGTACAGTGGCGTTACTAGCTACTTGGATCAGCCTCTTGTGTCGTTGCTTTTGCGATTTTTGTTATAGTAATAAAGAATATTGATGTTAATATTATTGTTTTTATTATTATGGTTATGTTTTAATTTAACGAGAGAGTCTGTTTAACGTTTAACAAGTTGATATTGCTGCTATCTCCTTCATGTCGATCTCTTTGTTAGGGTTTATCGAAATTAAGGTAGAAAAGGTACTATGGCTCAAATTCAAAAGGCCGATTCAATTAATCTGCCAACTGTAGACGTTATCTACAGTTTTTTTATTTATTTCGTTATCTACTATGGGGTATCAGAATGTTTGGTCAAGTGTCGACTTACATCAGCTCCAGTAAAACAGACGTTATTAGATGGAGGTATAGTCAGTGGCGACGCGTGACTTGCAGTATGGGGTGGGGGGGAGGAATGGGAAGATGCGAGTTGAATTTGAACAATGATATATTATATAGTGTAGGTGCCCAGCGACATAAAGTTGCATTTATGAATACTTTCATGGAAAGTTTTGTGTGGCAATTAACGAGCTGATTTTTTCAAGATTGCTTAATAAAAATATGTAGAATATAGATATCCAAGTGTCCGACATAGTAGATTTTCCGATTTTCCAGTCCGACGCGAGAAAATTATCGGTTTCACGAAGCCAAAAAATTAATGAACTGTCGGACAAAAAAAAAATCCTGTGCAGTTCACAACCGGTAGAAGTGAAACCTTCATCGAACTGCTTGCATTACATACACACTAACATACACAGTGGCGTCCCCCCCTCCAAGACTTGAGAAAGAACGCAATAAATATAGTTTAAAAAAACTAAAATACACGCTAGGGTGCTTTGTTCCAAATTTCTCATACATTGAGCACCTCACGCTTTTTTGACAATAATTCTAATATTTTTTGTTCATTAATATTTTCTGTTTATATTAGAAATTATTTTTCACTAATTAGTTCAATTTACATAAAAGCGTGTTTTTTACTACTAAGACTAAGGACTATAATCCCTGAAAATTTCAGCTCATTTACACTTATAGTTCCTGAGATAAAATCGTGTTAAGCAATTTGGGGTGATTTATCAATTTTTCAATTTTTCTGAGTGCCTTTTTTCATCGATTTCGGCTTCAAATCTGAGAATAATTTAGTGTATGGAGTTTGGGGTATGTTGATTGACCAATATAGGATACAAAATCTTGACAAAAAAAAATTTGAAATTTCATCGTTTTAGTAAGAGGGTACCTGCCTTATAATTTAGATTTTGGAATATTTTGAAAGGTCATAACTTTTTTTCTATTATAGATAGAAAGGTGAAACTTTTACTGAATTTTATCTTTTTCTAAGGAATACAATCCCTGAAAATTTCAGCTCATTTGCACTTATAGTTCCTGAGATAAAATCGTGTTAAGCAATTTGGGGTGATTTATCAGTTTTTCAATTTTAGTGAGTGCCTTTTTTCATAGATTTCGGCTTCAAATCTGAGAATAATTTAGTGTATGGAGTTTGGGGTATGTTGATTGACCATTAGGATACAAAATCTTGACAAAAAAAAATTTGAAATATCATCGTTTTAGTAAGAAGGGACCTGCTTTATGAATTAGATTTTGGAATACTCTGAAAGGTCATAACTTTTTTTCTATTATAGATAGAAAGCTGAAACTTTTACTGAATTTTATATTTTTCAAAGGAATACAATCCCTGAAAATTTCAGCTCATTTGCACTTATAGTTCCTGAGATAAAATCGTGTTATGCAATTTGGGGTGATTTATCAATTTTCCAATTTTTCTGAGTGCCCTTTTTCATAGATTTCGGCTTCAAATCTGAGAATAATTTAGTCTATGGAGTTTGGGGTATGTTGATTGACGATTAGGATACAAAATCTCGACAAAAAAAAATTTGAAATTTTATCGTTTTAGTAAAAAGGTACCTTTTGATTTAGATTTTGGAAAATTTTGAAAGGTCATAACTTTTTTTTTGTTATAGATAGAAAGCTGAAACTTTCACTGAATTTTATCTTTTTCAAAGGACTACAATCCCTGTAAATTTCAACTCATTTGCACTTATAGTTCCTGAGATAAAATCGTGTTAAGCAATTTGGGGTGATTTATCAATTTTCCAATTTTTCTGAGTGCCTTTTTTCATAGATTTCGGCTTCAAATCTGAGAATAATTTAGTGTATGGAATTTGGGGTATGTTGATTGACCATTAGGATACAAAATCTCGACAAAAAAAAATTTGAAAATTCATCGTTTTAGTAAGAAGGTACCTTATGATTTAGATTTTGCAAAACTTTGAAAGGTCATAACTTTTTTTTTGTTATAGATAGAAAGCTGAAACTTTCACTGAATTTTATCCCAATCAAGGGACTACAATCCCTGAAA